ACCATCTGGCCACAAACCTGTCAACTCTGGTTTAGATGACAGTATACATTCCAACCCGTCTTTGTTCTTGGTTTAAATAACTTATTTTACAATAGCATTTTACATACAGAATCTGAATCCAAAGGGGTCAACTCAACAGCACATCATTTGGGTTAGCATTAACTTAAGAATAAGAAATGTGGTCCTTCCTCCCTAGTGTCTTGCATATATTTTTTGTTGTTAATCCTCACCGGAGACTATTTTTCCATTGATTTTTAGAGAAAATGGAAGGGAAGGGGAGACAGAAACATACACTGAGTGGCCAGATAATTATCATCTCTGAATGCATAATAATGTGGCCACTCAGTGTATATTAGAGACCCGGTGCATGAATTTGTACATATGTGGGGCCGGCCAGCCTGGCCAGGGGGAGGGGACATGGGTAGTTGGTCGGCCTGCCTACTGGTGGAACTCCTGGTTGAGGGGACAATTTGCATATTAGCCTATAATTATATAGAATATACACTGAGTGGCCAGATTATTATGCGTTCAGAGATCATAATAATCTGGCCATTCAGTGTAGATGTGAGAGAGAGATACATCAATTGGTTACCTCCACACTCACCCCAACCAGGGCGAGAGATGGAGCCTACATCGGAAACACTTGCCCTGGGACAGAATGAACTGGGACCCTTCAGTCCGCGGTCAGATGCTCTATCCACTGAGCCAAACCAGCTAGGGCATGTCTTGCATATTTTTGACAGAAAGATACACTTCTTTTTTAAAAGATAATTGTTTTTTTAAAAAATATATATTTTATTGATTTTTCACAGAGAGGGAGAGGGATAGAGAGCTAGAAACATGGATGAGAGAGAAACATTGACCAGCTGCCTCCTGCACACCCCCCACCAGGGATGTGCCTGCAACCAAGGTACATGGCCTTGACCAGAATCAAACCTGGGACCTTTCGGTCCGCAGGCCGACGCTCTATCCACTGAGCCAAACCTGCTTCGGCAGATAATTGTTTTTTATTGATTTCAGAGAGGAAGGCAGAGATTGGGAGAGAGAGAAGCATCAGTGATGAGAATCATTGATCCCCTGCCGTGACCTCCTGGACCAGGGTCACAGGGGGAGGCTCAACCACTGAGCCTCGTCCACTTCCTGGCACAATTCATGATGTAAGTATGTCAACTCTCACCAAAGGCAAGCTCCGTGAGTTCCCTCCCATCACAGGGAAATGAAAAAGGCAACGGATAATATACTCTCCAACCTTAACCCCAGCTAAAACCTGGCCTACCTGCCTGTGACTATAATTACCCTTTAAGAGTTATTTTACAGCACACTGGAAACTAACATGTTTCAACTCCGCTAAAACTCTCTCCGCTGAACTGATTTCCAGCTCGGACAGGAGTGATTTCGGCGTCGGGAGCCACATGAGCGGCCGCGGCCGAGGGCGCTGGGGGACCTCCCGCAGGGTCCGGGGGCCCCCTTCCTTCTCCCCGCTGAAAGGCTCCTGTGTTGGGTATCTGGGGCTAAAATCTCGGAACAGAAGAGCGGCAGTAACAGTGGTAAAAAAAAAAAAAAATTAAAATTAAAATTAAAATAATGCTAATAAAACGTTAGCTCTCCCCTAATTTCAAATTTTAACAGATTGGCGTGTCTTGGGTCTGGGCAGGGTAAGGAGGGAATACTAACTTCAGAGAGGCGAGGGGGTGGGTTGGGGAAGGCCCCGGAGACGAGCGGCCGAGATCCACCTCAGGGGAGAAAACACAAAGTTCAGAGGAGCCACCGGGCAGGGCAGGGCCGGGCCGGGCCGGGCCGGGCGGCAGTTGGCGGCGGGGACGGAGCGGGCCTCGCCTCCGGGCAGAGCGACGGAGCCCCCCGAAGGTCCCCAGCAGCGGGAGGGCGGCGGGCGGCGGGAGCTGTCCCCGCGGGGACGGACCGGGCAGCGGAGTAGCATCTCGGGCGGCTGAAGGCCCGGGAAGGCTGGAGCCGGCCGGCCCTCCGTCGCCGGCGGGCAGCGGCAACCGAAGAGGGGAGCCGGGCGGGGATGGGGAATGGCGACGACTCATACCTGGATGAGCACCTTCACGTACATGAGCGGCTGGGACAAGATGGTGAGACCGGAGCCCAGGAGCACCTGACCGGCCGCGTCCGCCATGATGGCACCCGCGGACGGACGGACAGACCGAGCCACCTAGCGACCAAGCCGGCCCCGGATCACTGGCCCGCCCGCGGCGCGCGCGCACGCACACCCAGCGGCGCGCGCCTCTCCCCCAGGCCCCGCCCACCGCGCCGCCCCGAGAAACGGCTGACGCTCGCGCGCCCGCGCAAGGGTCTGGGCGGGGCCTAGGGGCCTGGTGCGCATGCGTCTTGCCGTGGGGGTCCGCGCCCGCCACTAGGAACGGCAGTTTCTCTTGCGCCTGCGCAGACCGGAAGTGCCCGGAAGTAGAAGAATGGGCGTGGTAATGGGGGTGTGTGTGACCCTGACAGCTAAGGCAAGGTCAGAAGAAAAATAATGGGAAGGATCCTTCGTTACGACTCGCCTCTGCAGTTGGCATTTGGGCATCAGCAACATAAGATCCAAAGGGTATTCAGCGTTAGAACCATAAAAAACACACTAATGGCCAACAATAACTCGGGTTGCTATTCATGCATTCATTCAATTAAAGTTAACTTCTCAGAAATGCTTTCTCTGGTCTTTCTGTAAATTTACCTCCCCCTTGTTTCCCACCACAGCGTCCTGTAGCACATATCGTTGTAATTTATCTGTCTTCTCCACACTACGATGTAAACTCCTGAGTTTGGGAACTTTAAGCCTTTTTTCATTGTTGTATATTGAGCCTGGCACATACCAGGTGCTTATGAATGAACAAATTAAGTGCCCATCGGAGTATAGGCTTTTAGAAGCAAAAAGAAAAAGGCATTGTCCTTACCCCTTCCGCCCCAACCCACATGTTCTATATCAAACAACACTTAGTGAGACAAAGTGGGGCACAGAGAATGAAATGCCAAGTAGACTTTATTTTCTTCTTCTGGCTTTTTTTAGTATCAAAGTGATTCAGAAGTCATTTTCTCTTCTTTTGTTTTCAGATTTTGTATTGAAATTTAAGAGTAACACTAATAACTACCTCTCAGGATTAATGATCATTAACTGAAATTGTGTACAGGATAAGATCTTTTTAAAACTGCATATTAAAAGACAAAAGTTAGTTTTTATTAATATTGTCCTGTATTCAGCACAGTGCTAGGTGATATGTGGAGGCAGTTTACAGAACAGGAAGGAAGCTTGGTCTTTAAAGTTCAATGGACCTGCCGAAACTGGTTTGGCTCAGTGGATAGAGCGTTGGCCTGCGGATTGAAAGGTCCCAGGTTCGATTCCGGTCAAGGGCATATACCTCGGTTGCAGGCACATCCCCAATAGAGGATGGACAAGAGGCAGCTGATCAATGATTCTCTCTCATTGATGTTTCTAACTCTCTATCCTTCTCTCTTCCTCTCTGTAAAAAAACAATAAAAATATATAAATTTTTTAAAAAAAATAATAAATAAAGTTTAATGGACCCGCTCCAAAGTCATCCTCTACCAGTTAGTAACTGTGTGACTTTAGGCAAATTACAGGACCTCTTTGAATCTTAGACAAATTAGTATTGTAATGTCTACTTCATACCTCTGTGAGGATTGAATGATATACCCATCCTGGCACATAATAATATATAACTGTAGCTTTTAGAATGGTAAGAAACATAAGTAGCTTCTAACTAAATCCAGAAATTTTTTTGGGATATCAGTACAACTGACAATTTAAACAACAGTGTCTAACCAGGCAATGTCTGAGATCATTTAGCAAGGGGACTTTTAGTCATGAATTTGTATATTGATGGTGCCAACAAAATATCCACTGTCTCTGCCCCACTGATACCTGTGGGCACTGGGAGGTACAGAGCCTCTGGCAAGAGAGGGTGGTTGGTGCAGGGTAGAAGTTGCCCATGTAGTTTGGGGAAGAATCTAAGAGGAAAGGGAGCTGAAGTCAGCAGCATAGATAAGAGAAGTGAAAAAAGGTACAGGGCCCTAGCGGGTTTGGCTCAGTGGATAGAGCATCAGCCTGTGAACTGAGAGGTCCAAGATTCGATTCCGGTCAAGGGCACAAGCCGGGGTTGTGGGCTCGATCCCCAGTGAAAGGCATCCGATCCATGATTCTCTTATCATGGATGTTTCTATCTCTCTCTCCCCCTTCCTTTCTCTCTGAAATAATTTAAAATATATTTAAAAAAAAAGAAAAAGAAAAAATGTTTAGGGCTGCAACCCAATGTGTTAGGAAGAAGGTGAGTCAAATGGGAAACCTGGCAGGACCCGGAGTGACCCTTTCTGAACATGATACTAGCACACTGACAGCACAGGTGCTGTGAGGGATCTAGAATACCTGTTCACAAAAGCTTATGCAGTTAACCAATCAATGGAAACAACTGGTTAGAGAGAAAGAATTTTAATCAATGGGTTTTAAAACTTACATAACTGTGCTGAACATAATATATGTAACATTAAATTTCGGATAATACATGAATTGTTTTCTGTATGTGGCAACACTACATCCTGAGCAAGTCTGAGATACCACAGTTTGACATCACTAGCAAGTTGTGACACATTTTTAACATGGCCCACTCACACAATATGTTTAAAACAGAATTTGATCACTTAAAAATTGATTTGCACATAATTTTGGACAGGATATCTATTGGTTAAAATGAGGTATTTCTGTGCGGTAGTTCCATGAGAACACACTTGAACTTCTGATAAAGGAAGCTTTTCCAGACATCACAATGAAGCTTCATTTTATAAAATAATTTAATTCATGAGGTGTACATCTTGAAGGCATGCACACAGTGGAAGGTCAGTGCACATGAATGCACAACACAGTACACCACCAACAAGCTTGGTTACCCATCACACAAATCCCTCATTACAAATGCATCTCACCCAAAACATGCCAAGGAACCACTGTGTGGTGTGGCCCCAGTGCCCTACGGGTATGTGTATATGTGCAAGGATGGGTACACTTCCATCGTGGTGTGGCCCCTCTTTGTGGCAAGAAACCTGTTCCTGGACCAGTCTGGCTTCGTATCTGGATCTGGTTCTTTGCCGGTGTTTGTGCTTCTCTTTGAAGAGCATGTAAATCCTGGTTTTTCTTTCTGTGCAAATAAGATATAAAAGTTGAACTTGCTTTATGTTGTAATTTGTAAAGTTAGAGTAAGGATTCGGGTTGGTTTACAAGGAGTTAGTGAGAGGTGGTTGTTACAGGGCAGAGGCAAATCAAGCATTTGCCTTTGTCTCTCAGAGTGCCAGCAGTCTATGGGCAACATTTTAAAAATATATATTGATCAGATGATTATAGATGTTCCTCTCCCCACTCCCCGCCATAGCTCCCCTCCACCCAGTTCCTACCTCTCCCCACCCCGAGACCTCACCAACCCACTGTCCATGTCCAAAGGTATAAGATCTTTGTCCAATCCCTTCACGCACCCCCACACCCTTTCCCCCTGAGAATTGTCAGTCCACTCCATTTCCATGCCCCTGATTCTATTATATTCACCAGTTTATTCTGTTCATCAGATTTTTTATTCATTTGAGTTTTAGATTTACTTGTTGATAGATATGTATTTGTTGTCACTTTGTTGTTCATAATTTTTTATCTTTATCTTTTTTCTTCTTCTTCCTCTTCTTAAAGAATGCCCTTCAGAATTTCATGTAATACTGGTTTGGTGGTAATGAACTTCTTTAGCTTTTTCTTGTCTGTGAAGCTCTTTATCTGACCTTCAATTCTAAATGATAGCTTTGCTGGGTAGAGTAATCTTGGTTGTAGGTTCTTGCTGTTCATCACTTTGAATATTTCTTTTTTTAAAAAAAATATTTTATTGATTTTTTACAGAGAGGAAGGGAGAGGGAGAGTTAGAAATATTGATGAGAGAGAAACATCGGTCAGCTGCCTCCTGCACACTCCTTACTGGGGATATGCCTGCAACCAAGGTACATGCCCTTGACTGGAATCGAACCTGGGACCCTTGAGTCTGTAGGCTGATGCTCTATCCACTGAGCCAAGTTTTGGTGACTTGGAATATTTCTTGCCACTCCCTTCTGGCCTGCATAGTTTCTGTTGAGAAATCAGCTGACAGTAGTATGGGTACTCCCTTGAAGGTAACTAACTGTTTTTCTCTTGCTGCTTTCAAGATTCTTTGTCTTTTGCCCTTGGCATTTTAATTATGATGTGTCTTGGTGTGGTCTTCTTTGGATTCCTCTTATTTGAGGTTCTCTGTGCTTCGTGGACTTGAAAGTCTATTTTTTTCACCAGGTAGGGGAAGTTTTCTGTCATCATTTATTTTTTATTTAAAAAATATATATTTTAGCCGAAACCAGTTTGGCTCAGTGGTAGAGCGTCGGTCTGTGGACTGAAAGGTCCCAGGTTTGATTCCGGTCAAGGGCATGTACATTGGTTGCGGGCACATCCCCCATAGGGGGTGTGCAAGAGGCAGCTGGTCAATGTTTCTCTCTCATCGACGTTTCTAGCTCTCTATCCCTCGCTCCTCCTCTCTGTAAAAAATCAATAATATATATATATATTTTAGCCGAGGCTGGTTTGGCTCAGTGGATAGAGCGTTGGCTTGTGGACTGAGGAGTCCCAGGTTTGATTCCGGTCAAGGGCATGTGCCTTGGTTGCGGGCACGTCCCCAGTGGGGGGTGTGCAAGAGGCGGCTGATCAATGATTCTCTATCATCGGTGTTTCTAACTCTCTATCCCTCTCCCTTCCTCTCTGTAAAAAAAATCAATAAAAAAAAAAAAAAAATATATATATATATATATATATATATATATATATATATATATATATATATTATAGAGGGATAGAGAGCCAGAAACATTGATGAGAGAGAAACATCAACCAGCCGCCTCCTGCACACCCCCCACTGGTGATGTGCCCACAACCAAGGTACAACCAGGGTTCAATTCAGAATTGAACCCTGTACCCTTTAGTCCACAGGCCGACGCTCTATTTACTGAGCCAAACCGGTTTTGGCTCATGCTAATTATTCTTCTAATGAAGCAAACCATTCTCAAACCTCAGCATTGAAGGATCCCTGTAACACGGTGCGTGGGGCACACGTCATAGCTTAAGGCGGCGCCCCTACCCTACCCCGCTGGCTGCTGATAGCTCCTTGAGGTGAGCACTGCTGCATTAGGCTATCACTGTTTTCCCTGAGACGTTGCCTGGAGTTACCAAATAACAGCTGCTTAACAAATGTTCGTTGGAATAAAGGTAACTTCTCCATGGCAAGCTGTTAGCTCTGGGAGGGCTGTCTGCGTCCTTTAGTACCTTGTGGGCTGTGCCCCCGGGTGGTCAGTGGTTTATAGCCTGAGGGTGCCAATTACCTTGGCTGTTCACCTGAGCAGAACAAATCTGAGAAGGTGAAACTGTAGATCACCACCCCTCCAAATCACATAATACATTTCAAAACCAAATAAAGTAAATCACCAGCATATAGGTATAACATATATTAAGTGAAATACCTGCTTTCTTTCTTTCTTTTTAGTCAGAATCAAGCCAGTTGCCTTTGGTGGGTCCAGGGAGATGCCTCTGTCTCTTCCATTTAACTGTGACTAGAATAAATGAACACATTCTCATTAAAATGTCTACTTGGATAAGTGTATTAGAACATACGTCCTCTGAGTGTTTCTCATGCATTTTGATTCATTATGATACTCTAACACAAAAAGAGAGGCAGGACACAAACAAATAATTCAAAGAAAATAATTCAAATAATTCAATAATATTTATTGAATACCTACCATATGCCAGGCCCTTTACACATAGATTCACATCTAATATTCTCAACCAACCTTACGTTGTTGATGTTATTACCATAACTACAGGCCTGGTGCAGGAATCCATGCCCAGGTGGGGTCGCTCAGCCTGGCTGGTGATTGGTGCCGATTGGGGCCCATCTCACCTAGTCCTGACCAGGCTGATGGGGGCCAGCCATAGGAGGATGGCTGTGGGAGCACACTGACCACCAGGGGGAAGCTCCTGCATTGAACGTCTGCCCCAGAGTGGTCAATGCATGTCATAGCGATTGGTCGTCCAGTTGTTATGGTTGTTTAGGCTTTTATATCTATAGATATTTTAGATGCAGAAACAGAGTCCCAGGGTGGTTAAGTATCTCACAGAAAATTACATAGGGGGCGGAGGGTGATACTTGAACTCAAGACAGACTTCAGAGCTGTTTCCTTGTCACTATTACACTAGACCCCAGGTGTCCCTCAATACTGAATGGAGATGGCTGTGCCTGTGAGGGTTCCTCGGTGTGACACAGCGGGGCCCCATTATCTCCCTGTTACTCACAGGGTAACATTCTGCCAGAGGAGGGCCAATGTTACACTCCACCCACCAAGAATCAGCTATGTTGTACCAGAACTTGTATTTATTCATAAAAGAACCAGGGACTTGAGAGCCGCAAAACTCCAAAGTACCCAAAGCTGGTTAGGTGCTTCTCTGTGTTCCCTGCTTCCTATTCTGTTGTCATTTGCTGTTTACTTGTCAGATCCCCAGTCCAGACTCTAAGGTCCCTGAGGCAGGGACAGTGTTTTGTTCAATGTCATATTCGCCACACCCAGGAGAGGGCCTGGCGTATAGTGGTTACACAGTACAATTTGTTGAATTAACGGCTGGATGGATGGTAAAACAGCCTGTTCTTATGTTCCGGGCATAAAGTCACAAATCGCCAATATTTGGTGTCGGACCTCGGTGGTGTGTAATCTAAAGCACAGCCAGTCTCCCCCCCAATTTAAAGTTCCCCTGCTCCCAGTGGCACTGACAGGCAAGGGTGACACAGAGGGCTTGTGCGTTCTTCGCCCTGTTGGGGAGACATACTGATTGGAAAAGTCAGAGAACCGGTGTGACAGAGAGTCGAGAATGGACCAGAATATAGAGCCCTGAAATGAATTCATGCATATGGGGGTCGTTTAATTTTTTAACAAATGAGTCAAGAATATACAACGGTGTTGCAAAAACTAGATATTCACATGTAAAAGACCGAAACTGTACTCCTGTCTTACACCATTCACAAAAGTCAACTCAAAATAGATTAAAAACCTACATTTAAGACCTGACTCTCTAAAACTCCTAAAAGAAAACATAGGAAATAGGCTCCTTGACATTGGTCTTGGCAATGATTTTTTGGTTTTGACAACAAAAGCAAAGAAAACAAAAGAAAAAAAAGAAACAAGTGAAACTACATCAACTAAAAAGCACAGCAAAGAAAATAAAAAAAAATGAAAAGGCAATCTATTGAATGAGAAAAAATATGTGCAAACATCTGTGATTTGGCCATAATAAAGAAGGGAATTCTGCCATTCGTGACAACATGGATGATCTTGGAGGACATTATGCTAAGTGAAATAAACCAGACAGAGAAAGACAAACATTGCACTTATATGTAGAACCTAAAAAAGCCAAACTCATAGAAACAGAGTAGATGGTGGTTGCCAGCGACTGGGAGGTGGAGCAAATAGGGGGAGGATGGTAAAAGGGTACAAACTTTTGCTTATCAGACAAGGTGTGACGATCTGATATATAACATGATGACTATAGTTAATAATACTGCATTGTGTAATTAAAATTTCCTGAGAGTAGAACTGGACATGTTCTCACCAAAAGAAAAAAGATAACCATGTGAGGTGATGGATGTGTTAGTTAACTCAATGGTGAGAATCACTTCACAATATATACACATCAAATCGTCACGTTGTACACTTTAAAAAATTACAAAAAAAGTTTTAATACATTTTTTTCATGAATGAATAAAAAAAAAAAGTCAAGCAAAAACATTACCTCATAAGGACATATGCACCCCTATGTTCATAGAAGCACAATATACAATAGCTAAGATTTGGAATCAGACTAAGTGCCCATCAGCAGATGAGTGGATTAAAAAACTTTGGCACATCTACACAATGGAATACTATGCTGCTATAAAAAGGAAGGAACTCCTACCATTTGCAACAGCATTATGCCAAGTGAAATAAGTCAGTCAGAGGAAGATAAATATCGCATGATCTCACTCATTTGTGAATTATAATGAACAACATAAACCGATGAACAAAAACAGATCCAGAGACAGAGAAGCATCCATCAGATGCTCAAACCTCAGAGAGAAGGTAGGGGAGGGTGGGGGTAAAGGGGAGAAGGACTTGTATGCATGCATATAAGCCTAACCAACAACACAGATAACAGGGGGGTGAGGGTGAGAGCAGAACTTGGGGGACAGGGGAACATTGGGTGAATAAGGACACATGTGTAATACCTTAATAAAGAAAAAGAAAAACCAACAGACAAAAAAACATTACCTCATTCATCCTTGGTTTCTCATTTCTTACTGTCGAAGAACTGGCATTCTCAGAAATTTTTAAAAAGGTAGGCTGCTTTTGCATCGTGGAAGCAAATCCTGGCATTTTCTAGAAGGATTAGTGTAAAGAGAATGCTTTTCAATTGATCGATTGCAATGAATCTGCTCATAATTGACCCAATTCACCCAACAGTAAAACTCCCATCTCTGAAAGCATTTTCACCTTTAGAAAGCAGAGGGTATAATGTAGGTACATCAGCTGGGAGAAAGACAAGGAAGGAGCTATCCAGGGGTCTTAGCCTGGGCCAGGCCTGACCCCTCAGCACCCAGCAACCTTGAGCAGCTTCAGCCACTCCTCTGCCAGCCATTCCACCACTTCCCTCCGGAAACCCAGACGTGGTCAACGCCCAGACCTGCAGCTCCAGAGCACACACAGGGCCCGTGGGCCAAGGCTGGCAGCTGCTCAGAGATGTCCAGAGGACCATGAGAGAGCTCTGCACTCAAGACAGAAAGCTTTCACCTCTGACCCCCTTCTGCTTTAGAGTAAACCTTGGCCCCCAGTCCTGCTCTTTAACTGGACGGGAGAAGCAGGCAGCACAGCAGGGCTGTCTTACCAGGGCATCTTCTGCTGACGTGAACTCCTGCATCACATTATTTTTCTGATACTGTTCATTTCGCTGTTTCCTCGTCTGAAGCGGCTTCTTCTTTTTCTTCTTGTGCACTTTCTTCTTATGATTCAACTATTTTAAAAAGTGCAGAGAAACTAGTCAGTGAGGGTTCCAGAGGACTCTCGTCACACAGCACTCAAGACACGATGGCTACGCCAGTGTGCGGCCCTCGGGGTGAAGTTGTTGGCTTGAAGAACAAATAGTTGTTGCCTCCGTACCCGAGGCTGCTCCCCATTCAACAACCCCCAAATCCGACTATTATACATATACTAGGGAAGGGGTCCTATACCAACGACCAAATATTTGTGATTTATAATTTAAAGCCAGATTACTTGCCAAAACCTGTTTGGCTCAGTGGATAGAGCATCGGCCTGCGGACTGAAAGGTCCCAGGTTTGATTCCGGTCAAGGGCGTGTACCTTGGTTGCGGGCACATTCCCGGTGGGGGGGGGGGGGGGGGTGCAGGAGGCGGCTGGTTGATGTTTCTCTCCCATCCATGTTTCTAACTCTCTATCCTTCCCTCTTCCTTGCTGTAAAAAAATCAATAAAATATATTTAAAAACAAAAAACAAAACAAAACAAAAACTAGATTACTTATGGCAATACTGTCAGGTACAGACAATACTGATTATTTGATGTGTGGTTAGAAGATTCAGTTTGGGCCCTGGCTGGTTTGGCTCAGTGGATAGAGCGTCAGCCCGCAGCCTGAAGGTCTCAGGTTCAATTCCAGTCAAGGGCAATCCTCCGCCCTGGTTGGGGTGTGAGTGGGAGGCAACCGAATGATGTGTCTCTCTCACATGGATGTTTCTTTCTTTCTGTCTCTCCCCCTCCCTTCCACTCTCTCTAAAAATCAATGGAAAAATATTCTCGGGTGAGGATTAACAACACCACCAAAAAGATTCGATTTGGTTGTTACTTCAAGCAAATGAAGCTCAGGACAAATTTTCTAGGTATCTATGGTGTGATGTTGCTGTAAATACAGCTGAAATTGTAAGGCTGAGTATAAACTGGCTGGTTCCTCCTGACAGCCTTAATCTCACTTTATGATGGGGATATTTCTTAATGCAATTAGGAAATCATGTGCATAATAAACAATAAGAAATATTTTATTGTTTGTAAATATCATCTTTTATACCATCTATGTAAGAAAAAGTCTGTGAACAGATGGGGCAAAAAAAGTTACATAATAGCTGAAACTGGTTTGGCTCAGTGGATAGAGCACTGGTCTGCAGACTGAAGGGTCCCAGGTTTGATTCTGGTGAAGGGCATGTACATTGGTTGCGGGCACATCCCCGGTAGGGGGTGTGCAGGAGGCAGCTGGTCAATGTTTCTCTCTCATCGATGTTTTTAACTCTCTATCCCTCTCCCTTCCTCTCTGTAAAAAATCAATAAAATATATATTTTTAAAAAGTTACATAATACATGAAAGTATAAAAAACTAAGACTACATGAATAAAGAAACACTTTTTAGTCCTGACAAGTAGTTCAGTTGGTTACAGCATTGTCCCAACATGCCAAGATTTTGGGTTCAATTCCCTGTCAGTGCACATACAAGAATCAACTAATGAATGCATACATGAATGGAACAAGTTGATATCTCTCTCTCTCTCTCTCTCTCTCTTTCTCTCTCTCTCTTCCCTTCTCTCTCTAAAGTCAATTAATAAAAAAAAATGTTATAAATAAATGCTTTTTAAAAAAATTATGGGTCATTTTTTTAAAATAAGAGAACTAAAAACAACTTTAAAATGTCAATTACAATTTACATTCAATATTATTTTTTATTAGTCTCAGGTGTACAGCATAATGGTAGATAATCATATAATTTACATAGTGGTCCCCTAATATTTCCAGTATCCACCTGGCATTATCCATAGTTATTACAATATTATTGACTTTGTTCCCTATGCTGTACTTTACATCCCCATGACTATTTTGTAACTGCCAATTTGTACTTCTTAAAACCTTCACCTTTTCTTTTTTATATATTTATATTATTGTTTGTTTTTTTTACAGAGAGGAAGAGAGAGGGACAGAGAGCTAGAAACATTGATGAGAGAGAAACATCGATTAGCTGCCTCCTGCACACTCCCCACTGGGGATGTGCCTGCAACCAAAATACATACCCCTGATCAGAATCAAACCTGGGACCCTTTAGTCCGCAGGCCGATGCTCTATCCACTGGGCCAAACCAGTCAGGGCAAGACATTCACCTTTTCAACCCTCTTCTCTTCTGGCAACCAAGTATCAGTCATTTAAAAAAAAATATTTTTATTGATTTTTTACAGAGAGGAAGGGAGAGAGAGAGAGCTAGAAACATCGATGAGAGAGAAACATCGACCAGCTGCCTCCTGCACACCCCCTACCAGGGATGTGCCTGCAACCAATGTATTAATACATGCCCCTGACCGGAATCGAACCTGGGACCTTTCAGTCCGCAGACCGATGCTCTACCACTGAGCCAAACCAGTTTCGGCAAGTATCAGTCATTTTTATAACCCATTTCTTAACATGGTTTTCACTTTTAGTTAAACTTTCTTTTTTCCACTTTCAGTTAACTTTGGAATAAATATGGAGTCCTCACACCCTCCCCCCTAGATTTTTAAAATGAAAGTTATAACAAAGACTTCATAACCAGTTGGGACACTATTGCTCTATTTTCTGCAGATCTTAGAATAGTTGGGAAATTCCATCACATTATCTAGTGATGTCATGCTTTTTTTTAAATTAAATTATTATCTGTGTACATATTTTAACATTGCTCTCCCCCAACCCCCATGTCATGCTTTTTTAAGGCTGCCACTCTTTGGGTATAAGAGTCTATCTAATCTCACCTCATCTGCTATGTTCAGGAGGTGAGCAGGGAGACCGTCTGAGAGGGAACTGTCAGAACCACTGGTGCTGTTTTCGAAAGGAGAGAAGAAAGGGAAAAACCCGTTACTGATGTCTGGAAGTATACCATTTACCAGACCATCTGCATGGGGTTAGCATATCTAGTCCACTATTTGTCCACACTGTCTGTGTTTCAATTGCTAAGAATTCTTGACAAGCATATTCATTCATTCATTCTGAATGCCGATTGCATGCCAGGCAATCATCAGGCACAGGAAACAGAAATGGACATGGCAGAGTTCCTGCACCAAGGAGTTTGCAATCTGTGTAGCAAAAAAAAAATAAATAAAAAAATAAAAAAATAAACATTAACAAGCCCTGGCCAGTATGGCTTAGTTGGTTGGGTATTGATTATCCCACGCACCAAAAGGTTGCAGGTTTGATTTTCGGTCAGGGCACATGAGAGGGTTGCCGGTTCAGTACCGGGTTGGGAACAGCTATCAATTTTGCTCTCACATCTTGGTTCTCTCCCTCTCCCGCTCCCTCTCCCTTCCTCTCTCTAAAAATCAATGTTAAAAATCTTTAAAAAAAAAAAAAACACACCAAAAACATACTAACCAGCCAGATGGGCAGAGCTGCCCTTGGCAGCACTGTGAGAGGCTGTAGGATTCTCACTATGCAGCCCTAGAGAATGCCAGGGAACTGTAATTTGTTTGGAAGCAGGGACTCTGTCTCATTCATTCCTGTCTGGCCAGTACCAGTTCAGAGAGCCAGGATCCTACCAGGTCGTCTTTAAGAATGTGTTCAATATATAAATAAATATATTTAATATAAAGACTCTATAGGTCAGAGACCAGGAATATTACTCTCATCACCCCGATTCACCTTCCAAAAGTTCTGGGTGCATGTCTAAATTGATCCCAAATCCTCCCCCACCCACTGTCCCGGCCCCCAGTCTTCAAGGCCTAGGATGAATGAGTCCTCAGATAGCGAACCCTTTCTTCTGTTATCGTGTGTCACATGATCTTTTCTCCTTTCCTGGAGTGTGGCTGGCTAGAACTGAGAGCTGTGCTCTACAACATGAGCTCCATATAAAACAATGTTTCGTCACAAAACTCAAATCTGGGAAAAGACAGCATTTCAAACCACCCTTTTGCTCAGCCCTTTCACTCTGTTCTTCCTCCCTCTCCCTCCCACCAGTGTACTAGGAGGAGGAGCCTGACAGGAGACAGCGGGAAGAAAGCCCCCACTTCTCTGATCTAACTGTCAATTCCGGGTTCTCGTGGGGCTTTTCCAGTCTGAGGAGCAGCCTTTGAGGCCACTGACAACAGTGTCTGAGGTGCCTTTCAGAGGCAATGCAGAGCGTTGACCAATGGGATTAGAGCATTAGATGCAGAATGGCCTGGAAATGCTCAAAACCAGTGTGCACACACCCAGACGGAGCAAATGCCAACTGAGCTTGGACACTCAGTCTGTTTTTCTGTGAAATGGTGAGAATGGAAAGGGGGTTCCTGATGCAGAGGCTGGCAAGATGGTTTCCATAATTCCTAACCCAATGCGTCCTGCTGAGCCAGCTGGAATGCGGTCTGTTTCTGAGTCAGTCCCCTGGGCTCTGTTTTATGAGTAGATATGCAGGGGACCTTTAGTTTTTGAGGGTGAAAGTGAAGCGGTGTTGGTGCACTTACCTTGGGGAGTTAGGCAAAGGATTCTGGGAGAATGGAAGAGGAGACCTGGTGAATGGGGCGCTCCACTGGGCCTGATGGTCTGTTTAAGGTGCCAAAGGCAGCATCTAGGAGACTCAGCCAGCAGGGTCAGATGTCGCTGTGCCACAGGGCGTGTGGTAGAGCCATCTGCTTCCCACTGTCCACATAGGCTACAGTGCAGCCTCCGTGCCAGCCCAGAAACCTGCCTGAGGGCAGCTAGAGCAGGCTCGAGACACCTTGGCCAGTAAGCAGGAGTAGATGGTGCTCTTGCACACACGTGAGATACCCACCCACCTAAAGAGCTTTGGAGCCCAAACCGGTTTGGCTCAGTGGTAGAACGTCGGTCTGCGGACTGAAAGGTCCCAGGTTCGATTCCGGTCAGGGGCATGTAGGTTGGTTGCGGGCATATCCCCAGTAGGGGGTGTGCAAGAGGCAGCTGGTCGATGTTTCTCTCTCATTAACATTTCTAGCTCTCTATCTCTCTCCCTTCCTCTCTGTAAAAAATCAATAAAATATATTAAAAAAAAAAAAAAAGAGCTGTGGAGACCATGAGGTGGGGCTGAGATCTACATATTAAATTATTTACTTTGCTCTCCCCATGTGCCGGGTACTGCTGTAGAGATGCATGAGACATAGAAGTGAACAAAATAAAGATCTCTGGTGTTGTGAAACTTACATCCTTATAGGGGAAGATAACAAACAGGAGACACAATCAAGTTGTAAATGATACAGAATGACAGAGGTGGTAAAATGCTGTAGGTCAGAGACGAGGAATAGTACTTTCCTTGGTGCTCTCAGTCAGAGGACCTAAGGCGGAGAGGGAACGGCAGGAGGTGAAGGCAGGGGAGCAAGTTGCAATAGTAGAGTGAGGAAGTTAGGCCACATTAACAAAGTTACATTGAAGCCTGGCTGGCTGAGCACTGACCTATGAACCAGGAGGTCCCAGTTCGATTCTGGTCAAGACACATGCAGAGTTGTCAAAGGAATGAAGTGTATTTAAGTGTGCCATGATTTATTTAATATTTTTGCACCAGAGGTTCAAAACCAACAAAAGATCAGAGCAAACAAAACAATTTTAAAAGTAAAACTTTTCTGATTTTTCTTGAAAATGAGTTTGTTACCTGGATTCAATGTCAGACAAAGAGATGTCGTTCCATCGACTTTCTACATCCATATCTGGTTCAAGTTCATTGAATTTCTTATAAATCTCCTGCTGTAAGAGCTCTTTAAGCTCTACCAGACACTGCATGAACTGCGGGAACGAAAAAGGAACTATCTCTGATTATTTATTTATTTATTCATCAAATATTTACTGTGTATATGCTAAAAGGCACTTAATTGCTGGGGACGTAAAGATGAATAAGCTGTGCCCTGGTGGGGTAGGGAGGGCTAAGTTGATTGGAGTGTCGTCCACACACCCAAAGGTTGAGGGTTCAATCCTCAGTGTGGGCATGTTTGGGAGGCAACTGATGTTTTTCTCTCACATTGATCTCTCTCTCTCTCTCTCTCTCTCTCTCTCTCTCTCTCTCTTTCTCTCTCTCTATTTCTCTCCCTCTCTCTTCCTCTCTTTCTCCCTCTCTCTCTCCTCTCTCTCCTCTCCCCCTTCCTTTCTCTCTAAAATCAATAAAAACATATCCTTGAGTGAGAATTAAAATTTTTTTTAATAAAAAAAAGGATTAATAAGTTGTAATGACTACTACTAAGGACATGTTAACAGATAGCTGCATGAGCTGTGGGAACACAAAGTGTTGCCATGTGGCCGTAAAAAAGAAGGAATTCTTACATTTTGCAACAGCATGGATGGACCTGGAGATTATATATTATACTAAGCAAAATAAGCCACTCAGGGCAGGACAAATACTATATAATCTCACTTGTAGTGAAATCTAATGAACAAAATAACTGATGAATAAAACAGAAATAGGCATGGATACATGGAACAGATTGACAAATGTCAGAGTGGAGGTGAAGGGGGTGGACTGGATGAAAGAGGGTGACGGGATTAGACAAAGAACATATTAGTATATGCATAGGCCATGCACACAGACAACAATGAGGGCCAGAGGGAGGGGAGGGCGGGGTTTGGGTGGAGGTGGGCACAAAGTGGGGAAATCTGTAATAATGTCAACAATAAAAATAAAATATTTAAAAAAAGAAGTGTTTTTGGGGCAGAACACTAATGAACACTGCTTTAGCCACTTTTTTCCCCCTGCCCATAAGCCAATTATAAACTTCTTAACCCAAAGGTTTGATTAATTTAATTTTATTTTAGAATAGTAAGGAAGGAAGTTAGAATGGGGTTGTTCAGATTTTGGCCCATGACAACTATGATTTAACGAGCCACGTTGTGGTCAAATTCTCCTCTAAATATATTTTTAAACAGTTGCATCCAGTCCGGCCAGTGTAGCTCAGTGGTTGAGCATAGACCTATGAACTAGGAGGTTCAATTCCCAATCAGGGCACATGCCTGAGTTATAGGCTCAAGTCCCAGTGGGAGGCATGCAGGAGGCAGCTGGTAGATGATTCTCTCTCATCATGGATGTTTCTGTCTCTCCCTCTTCCTTCCTGTCTCTGAAATCAATAAAAACATATTTTAAAAAGCCAAAACAGTTGCATCCAGAGTGGTGTCTATCAGTCTTCCCAGAGCCGACGATTCTGATGGGGTCTGAGGGAGGAGTTACAGACCATGAGCACAGATTGCTTTTTGAGAATTTGAGCGATGAAGGGAAATAGAAATAACCTGCATGAGAAACAAGGCCGAAGGACTGAAGATAGAAGCACCTTGAGAACATTCCAGTTGAGGGGAAGAGGAGGAAAAAACTGAGGATACAGAAAAGAGGGGAGGTTTTTAATGAGGCAAGACCTCAGGGAGCTTGTGGGGGAGCGAGGCAGGTGCGCAAAGGGCAGGGTGAGTTTTGGGGAAGACAAAGGACAGCAGGTTTTCTGAAACGGGAGAAAGGGAATCAAGAATGGGTGCTCCTTGCCGAAACCGGTTTGGCTCAGTGGTAGAGCGTCGGTCTGAGGACTGAGGGGTCCCAGGTTCGATTCCGGTCAAGGGCATGTATTGGTTGCGGGCACATCCCCGGTAGGGGGTGTGCAGGAGGCAGATGGTTGATGTTTCTCTCTCATTGACGTTTCTAGCTCTCTATCCCTCTCCCTTCCTCTCTGTAAAAAAAATCAATAAAATATATTTAAAAAAAGAAAAAAGAAAAAAAAAAAGAAAGAATGAGTGCTCCCACAGGTACGCCTGGATGTGAGGGGAGAAGTGCTGAGGGGAAGCTGGAACAATGGCCTCTATCATCTTGGTGAACTGAGAGTGTGCCGGCTGGGCCTTTCTTATTGTCTTTGATCATAAAAGCTTCAGAAAGATACCAAGAGGAAATAAAGATCACCTGACTGAAATAAAGATCACATGAGCTGACTCCGGACCCATGAGAAACTGGTCACAGCAGTGGCATCACCACACTTCTTGAAGCCCCATTTTTACCTTGGTGGGGTCGGGATCACAGAAATCCAGGAGGGTGTCGCAGACATGGTAGCCTAGGGACTTGAGATCCTCAGTGGTAAAATGAGTGTCTCTTTTATTGCCTGGAAAAAAACCCCCATAAACATTTCTTATGAAATCTTAATGAGCAAATAAATGCAGATGTAACTTGTGAATAGCTCATTAAAAACCCCCTCTTATTCTAGAATATTATGCTTCTGGACAGGGTTTCTCTTCTGGTTTTAGGTTGGTTCAGAAGAATCTGTGACAGTGAAAATGTTTACAGTCGTGATGGCTATAATTGTGAAGCTATAGTTACTACTATAACGCTTTACTCTGTGGCAGGCACTCTGCCCGGTGCTCTCCATGCACTTGCTCATGAAGCAGTTCCCATAACGCAGGAACTATTCCTGACATTCACAGAGAAGATGAGGTTCAAAGAATGAAGTAACTTACTCAGGACCACGCAACTCATAAATGGAGCGCAAATTCAAACCCCGATCTGCCTGACTCCAGGCCCTGAGCCACTATACTATATTGCCCCATCAGATGTCATATTTCACACTCATATTCTGTGGACTCAAATTTGGCATAAGGCGCAGACGAGAAAAGCCTCTATATCACTTCTCTCCTCAACATGTGTAAGGGTTTCCCCTCCCCTGTGCTCTGCGTGGCTCCCCTGGCCATGCTGGCCCACGGTCTGCAGAAGTGAGCTCACCCAGGGTGGACCCGCCAAAGGTAGACTCCATGGTGTAGCTGTTCAGGATTCCCATCCGCCACATCACAACTCGTCCTGTTCCTTCTTTGCACTTTTGGACCTTAAAATTACAACTGTGAAAAGAGAACTGAAGAGAAATCCAAATCCTCTGTTAATCATAGACTGGCAAATGTAAGATATAGACGATTTATTGATATGGCACAAGAATGTTTCCCTTGGGAATCTATATATTATTTCCTAAAGTGTGCCCCATAAAATACTGGTTCCTAGGGATGCTAACAGGTGTTGCAGGGGAACACTTGAGTTCCATGGTCATGTTCACCAGGGAGGTATAGGCCTAGCAAAATGGCGCGGGGTTCCTCTGCTATTTAACCTATTAAATAGCACTTCTCAGACTACTTAACAGGTCACTGTGGACTGTGATCCTCCAAAGGCGAGAGAGCGTGCTGCTTTTCATTGCCCACGAACCCTTCCTTCTCCTTCCCATCTTCTCCAGGGGCATTCTGCAAGACTCGGGTCTGTTTGGGAATACTGGCTTTCTTTGGCATTCAAGGCTAGTAGCCAACCTTTCTGAGATTTATTTCCTACCCCCTCTCCAATTTGAACCCTTCGATATGGTTGGGTTGATCCTCGATATGTGATTTGTGTACGCCTCAGCCCTACACTACCGTCTCTGCCTGGAACGCTCTCACTTCCTTATGCCAATGTTCTCAGCTCCAAGTTCAGTTTCCCCCATTGTCTTTCATGGCCACCTCAACGCTCTCTCCTCTCCTGAAGTTTGTAACAAACACTTGGCACCTCTCCCAGCCTATCCTAGCCTATCCTGCTGAAAACGCTTTACTGGGAGATATCTCAGTACCTTGTGGTTTCTAACTTGTGATCTATAGGATCCAGGGGTTCTACTGAGGAGCCGCAGGGCATTCCTGTCCCAGGACTGAGGGAGGAGGCAGAATGGACAGATGTTCCAAACCTTCTACCCCTCCTTCAATAATATAGTTCTGCTTTTAATTGTTTTAGATACTGGGTTCTGGATGTGATTTCATTTGAAGAGATACCTGGCAAAAATAGAAATGTTTAAAAAAAAGAAAAAAGGAATGCCCAAGCCTGTTTGCTCAGTGATTAGAGCATCAGCCTGCAGATTGAAGGGTGTTGAGTTTGATTTTGGTCAAGGGCACGTACCTCGGTTGCAGGCTCAATCCAGATCCTAGTTGGTGTGCATGCGGGAGGCAATCCATTAATCAATTGATGTGTCTCTCTCATATTGATGTTTTCTTTCTCTGTCTCGCCCTCTCCCTTCCACTCTCTCTAAAAATCGATGGGGAAAATATCCTTGGATGAGAATTAACAGCAACAATAATAAAATAAATAAATAAATAAAAAATAAAAAAAGAAAGAAAGGAATGAAGGAAGGGAAAGAGAGAGGAAGAAAAGCTTCCTCTTTTTTTTTTTTTTTAAATAGAGCAGTAGGTAAAAAATATTTGTCTTAAATATATTTATGTGAGAAAATGTGTACTATAATTTAAATGATTTCCTGAATCCAACCCAGTTTCTTCATTATAATGACAGTTACATGTTGTGGATGTATTTATGATGCTGAAAACCAACTTTTTTTTAAATAATATATTTTATTGATTTTTTTACAGAGAGAAAGAGAGAGACAGAGAGCCAGAAACGTCGATGAGAGAGAAACATCGACCAGCCGCCTCCTGCACACCCCCCACCGGGGATGTGCCTACAACCAACGTACATGCCCCTGACCGGAATCGAACCCGGGACCCTTCAGTCCACAGACCGACGCTCTACCACTGAGCCAAACCGGCTTTGGCTGAAAACCAACTTTCTAAATCAATGCAGATACTCTGGATATGTCTGACTATCACACTCAGCCAACTATCAAAAGCTTGTTGTTTTCGTTAGCCCGTTAATATCTTTGTTATTTGTGATCTTGCATTACACAAACGTTTCCTTGGAGGCTCATGTAACATTAGCATTTTGTTTATCCTGCAATCCCTGCTTTCACTGCAAATCACAGGGTTAATGACAGATTACTCTACTACTAACAGTTTGAACTTGTGCCCAGGCAAAGCAGCCAGAGCAATTTAAAAAAATCACCTTTATCCGTGCACTCGGGGATGGTGGGAGGTGTCCCTCAGCCTGGCCTGTGTGCTCTCGCAGTCTGCAGCCCAAGAGCCCTCGGTGGGCGGAGGGATGTCCAACTGCGAGAGCACACGGTGGTTAGTGTGCATCACAGTGACCAGGTATTCCACTGTTTGGTCAATTTGCATACTAGCTTTTTATTATATAGGATGATTCACATACCATAAAATCCACACATTAAAAGTACACAAGTCCATGGTTTAAGTATATTTGCAAAGTTGTAATATAAGTTTAGAACATTTTTAATACCTTCCCAAAACTCAGTATCCATTAGCAGTCACTCCCTAATGCTACTTGTCCCAAGACTGAGGCAATAACTAAACTACATTCTGTCTCTATAGCATTGCATAGAATGGAATCATGCAATATGTGGTGATTTTTTTCTTTCATTTTTTTCTTTCGCTTAGCATCGTGATTTCAAGGTTCCTCCATGTCCTCGCATATCAGCGGTTAATTCTTTTTATTGCAGAACCACATTCCATTCCCTCGACATACTGCGTTTTATTTATCTGCTCGTCAGTTGGTGGACACAGAGTAATTCTTAAAACTATACCTTTCTAAATTATTTTATTGATTTTTTACAGAGAGGAAGGAAGAGGCATAGAGAATTAGAAACATCGATGAGAGAGAAACTTTGATCAGCTGCCTCCTGAAAACCTTCTACTAGGGATGATAAAGCCTTCAACCAAGGTACATTCCCTCAATCGGAATTGAACCTGGGACCTTTCAGTCCATGGCCGGACGCGCTATTCACTCAGTCAAACCGGTCAGGGCACCCGTCGGCTTGGGGACTGAAGGGTCCCGGGTTCGATTCCGGTCAGGGGCATGTACCTTGGTTGCGGGCATATTCCCAGTAGGGGGTGTGCAAGAGGCAGCTGATCAATGACTCTCTCTCATCGATGTTTCTAAACTCTCTATCTCTCTCCCTTCCTGTCTGTACAAAATCAATAAAATATATTAAAAAAAAATAGAGAAAATGGCAAATCAAACACTATTACTGTGTAGGAGAAGCAGAGAGTTTCCTTCTTACACAGTCAGCGAGCAGGAAATTACCTGTGTGCTTACCTTGTCTGGTGCATTTTTGCTCAACATGAAAGGGAAGACTCGCTCGTGAAGCCAGTACTTGCGATCGTTGCTATTGCAGCCGTAGAGGAAGATGTTGTTCTTTCGGCTGTGGCCATGGAAATCACAATACAAGAGAACCTCTCTTTCTTCAAGAAGTCTAGGAAGGGGAACACACACAGGATTCGGTGGGCATCCAAATGCATGGATTCTTTTTTTTTTTTTTTTTTTTTTGAGTCTCTTCCTAAGTATGCCGACACCTTCCTGTCTCAGAAAACTTTGACCTTTAATGTCCTTCCGAGGACCCTATCTACCCTCAGTCACTGCTGTAAACACGGCATCAGTACTCCTTGCCCCTGCCTGACAGGACTTGAGATGAGCGGACACGGGAAGGGGAGGTGGGTAGGCCTTGTATAAGGGGACAAGGAAGTGGACAAAATTTGCTGAAAGAAAGCCCAGACCTGTGGAAAGAGGGGAAGAGGTAGAGAGGCTGTAATCGCAGGGATAAAGAAAGACAGAACCAAAGAAAGCCCAGGGTCCTCATTTTCCAGGGCTCATTCCTATAAGACTCAGATCTTCTTGACCTCCTGATCACCCAGGACACCTATTCAACCTTCCGAATGTGGTCAGTGTGATAACAATGCTGCACATTAACAGTGTGCTGGGTACTATGGTAAGTAGATGACATGTTAGCTCACCATTTATATTTTCTTTTCTTTTTAAAAAAATATATTTTATTGATTTTTGTACAGAATGGAAGGGAGAGAGATAGAGAGTTCGAAACATCAATGAGAGAGAGTCATCTATCCATTGCCTCTTGCACACCCCTTCCTGGGGATATGCCCGCAACCAAGATACATGCCCTTGACCAGAATCGAACCCGGGGCCCTTCAGTCCCCAAGCCAACGCTCTATCCATTGACCCAAACCGGTCCCGGCTATATTTTCTTTTTTTAAAACAGATTTTTATTGATTTCAATAAAAATTGAAGGGAGAGGGAGAGATAGAAAATATAAATGGTAAGAGCCAGTTTGCATGGCTCAGCGGTTGAGCATTGACCTATGAATCAGAAGGTCACGGTTCAATTTCTGGTCAGGGCACATGCCTGGGTTGCAGGCTTGATCCCCAGTGTGGGGTGTGCAGGAGGCAGCTGATCAATGATTCTCTCTCATCATTAATGTTTTTATCTCTCTCTCCTCCCTTCCTTTCTGAAATCAATACAAATATTGATTTTTTTTTTAAAAGACTGTCTCCAAAGACATTTCCAATTCCTACAACATTAGGAGAGACCTCCTCTCTCCCCCGAGTCCCTGCCATTAGTTAGTGCTCGCAGTAACCAGGCAAAGTCCAACAGAGGAGGAGACTCACCTCTTTTTTAAATTTTTTATAAATATATATTTTATTGATTTTTTTTTTTTTTTACAGAGAGGAAGAGAGAGGAATAGAGAGTTAGAAACATCGATGAGAGAGAATCATTGATCAGCTGCCTCTTGCACACTCCCTACTGGGAATGTGCCCACAACCAAGGTACATGCCCTTTAGTGGAATAGAACCTGGGACCTGTTTCAGTCCACAGGCCGACGCTCTATCCACTGAGCCAAACCGGTTTCAGCAGGGGGACTCACCTCTTGATCATGTTCCTGGTGTGCCAGATGCAGGGGAAAGACTCCCTCAGAATGGTTTTATAATGCCTGTTCAAGTCCCTGCCAGCCAACGAACACCGGTAATTCCCCACAATCACTCCGTCCGGATTTAACATGGGAACCACTTTGAAGACAAAGATGTCTCTGAGCAGCTGGGCATCTGGGGAGCTGCTAAGGATGAAGTCCAAAAAGCCTTTCATGATCCAGGAGCCGTTGCTTTCCCCAGGGTGGACCCTGGCGCTCAGGACCACGGCTTTCTTGGCGGCAGCCTCTTTCGCGGTTCGGGAAGGGTTGGTGATGGTGAGCAGGTAGACGGTGTTTCCCGCGAGGCTCCTGCATAGAGTCCGGAGTTTGCAGAACTGAGACTGGACAGGGTTTTTTGCCACGGACAGGAGGTAGCACTGCAAATCCGTGTAGGTGTATGGGTAGAAGTGTGCAAAGAAGCAAGTGTCCTGGTCGTGTGGAAACTGAACGGTCCACGTGAGACAGTGAAAGGACTGCTGCCCGTGATCCGTGCTGTTCTTGTAGTACTTGATTTCATTTCCTTCCCTCCTCCAGCCAATGCTGCGGGTCTCGGCATCCAATTGGGAGTACATGAGCGGCTTCATTCCTATGGTGTAAAGGCTCTTGGGTTTTAGCAAGTTGACTATGGTGAAGCGATAGGTGGCATCTTTTCTGGTGTTCTGAACTCGAAAATAAAACCACTGCGTGTGTTTGTTCGTGTAGAGGTCAGTTCGTAAGGTGAGTTCATACTCATAGGTGTCTCTGTGATGAAGAATATAGAATATCTCTGTAATACCTCCCTCAAAAAGTAATCTGGGAAAACACCGTTTCTTCCCCCCTCCCCCCCCGATAAAAATAGATCTTATTACAACAGAAAGGCTGCGACATCAAACATTTGTTTTCTAATTTACTTGGTTCTCCATCTCATATGTTAGGCTCACAGGGACCTGGGGGAAGAACGTGCATTGGGTGTGGGACAGAAGAGACTCATAATTCACACGCGGCACCGGATGTTTGGGCGCGCTGAGCTTCCTGGAGCCTTTCCGGAGCCTAGAAGGTGGTTTCCAACCACTTCAATCCTTTTCCCCCGAAACGCACTGAACTCAGGGAAGCTGGAGCCCTCTGTGGGCTGTACCTATATCCTGGACTCTCCGGTACAGATCAGACCTTTCAGCTTCCTGTGCTATTTTTCTCTCTTATCATCAATTGTCTGAAGATAAGGGGGCTTTGCTGGAATGCATGTACCTTGTGGGGGAAAAAACCAGGCCTAACTTGCAAAAGAGGAAATACAAATGCTAAAAACACGAAAAGATATTCATCCGTATGCATCATTAAGGAAATACAGCTTAAAACCGGATGTTGGTCTTTTCCCCCTCCATCTCATCAACATTTCAACACTGGGAAACAGGCCCTCTCGTACACTGTTGATGGTAACTGAAATCATGCTGGAGGGCATAGGGGCAAAAACTAGCAATGCACAGTGTTCAAACCCTTTGACCCGCCAATTTTATATCAGAATTTGTTCCATAACACCACAAATACTAAAAAGTATTTTAGTATTCACAAGGGTGTTAATTCTGTTCATTCATTTAATAAAAAATTGTAAATGTCTTAATTTCTCATTAGGTGGGAATAGGGCAAATAGGTATGGAACATTCATATAATGAAAGAATGTGAACTATCAAAAATATGGACATATGTCTGTGGTATTGTCATAGAAAAACATCTAAAATGTATTAAGTGGATCCCTATCTGATTTGACTCAGTGGAAGAGCATGGGGGTCAGGGTTTGATTCTGGTCAAGGGCCCGTTCCTTGGTTGTAAGTATGTGCGGGAGGCAACCAATTGATGTGTCTCTTTCACATCGATGTTTCTCTTTTGCTCTCCCTCCCTTCCACTCCCTCTAAAAATCAATGGAAAAATATCCTCAGGTGAAGATTAACAAAAAAGAAATAAAATAAATTGTACTAAGTGGAAAAAAACCAATTTGCAAAACGTGCCCAAATATATACACCATTACCCTATTTTTAAAAACATGAAATTTGTGTGTATTACACACAGAGAGAAAAAAATTAATGCATAGACATCAAACTGTTATCAATTGCTGTGTCTAGGAGTCATGATTATAGGATTCAAAATTTTGTTATGTATTTTTATTAATAAAAATGTAAATGAGCACTAATTTCTTTTATAAGCAGAAAAAACAATTTAGATAAATTTTTATTCTGGGGGGAAAAATATGAGCAATAATTAGTCCATTTCTTATCATAATCATTTCCTTTCACTTCTTTTTCATAAACACTCCTGGCTCCTATTATGATCCTTTTTGTAAAAAATATATATTTTATTGATTTTTTACAGAGAGGAAGGGAGAGGGAAAGAGAGTCAGATACGTCGATGAGAGAGAAACATCAATCAGCTGCCTCTTGCACACCCACATTGGGGATATGCCCGCAACCAAGGTACATGCCCTTGACTGGAATCGAACCTGAGACCCCTTAGCCTACAGGCTGACGCTCTATCCACTGAGCCAAACTGGTTAGGGCGTACTATGATTCCTGAAGACACTTCTCAGTCACTTTAATCACATCCCGCTGGGTAGACCCACTTTGTTACTCACACTTTGACAGCTTTTTGCAGATTCCCACTCTCAAACCTCGATTCAAACAGGAGGGTGCTATCTTCCGGTCCTTGCAGTGTGACCGCGAGCTCCTTGATCACGCCCCGCTTGCCTCCCACTCTGGAGCTGGTGAAATAGGAGCCTTTGGTGGGCACTGCAGGGGAGACAGACATGTTTAGCCGAATACCTGTCAGAGCCCATTTATCCAGCAGCATTCTTTGCGCCCCTCTGTCTTCAGCGGCACTGCTCTAGGTTAACAACAACAAATATTCAAACTTTCAGTTGTTCTTGTTGAGGCTTTTCATCCTAAAGTGTATTTCTCTGAAGGACTCTTGAGAGCACTTCCTTTTGCTACAGGCTACCCTTGTCAATACAGATTCTGCTTGTGCTCATTTGAATACTAATTTAAGATGGAGAATTTTTATACCATTTTTTTTTTTTTTTTTACTGATTAAGGTATTATATATGTGTCCTTATCTCCCCAGTGCCTCCTAATCCCCCCATTCATGCCCTCAACGCCCCCCCTCCCATGTCTATGTCCATTGGTTATGCTTATATGCATGCACACAAGTCCTTTGGCTGATCTATCTCCCTTACCCCCACCCTCCCCTGCCTTCCCTCTGAGGTTTGAGGGTCTGAAAGATGCTTCTCTGTCTCTGGATCTGTTTTTGTGTATCAGTTTATGTTGTTCATTATTTTCCATAAATAAGTGAGATCATTTAATATTTATCTTTCTCTGACTGGTTTATTTCGTTTAAAAGGATGTTGGCAAGAGGGAATATTCTAAATGAAGCATCTGAGAACATTTGCAACCTTATTTAAAAACCCAACAAATAGCACCTATTTATTCATTTAAGAAAAAGATAAGGGGAAAAACAAAAAAGAGAAAACATAGCAGATGCCATAAAATTTTTTTGATATATGTTTCCAGATTTAAATATAACAAAAACAGCAGTTTGAGAAGAATTGGCATGGGTGGATGCCCCTGGGAAAGGAACCAAAATATAGTTCTCAGTGAAAAGAAAGATTACAATTGAAATTTTAACTTTAAAATGAAATTTTAAAAATGTATGAAATTTATCTTATTTAACAAAATTTAGATTATAACCACAGCCTCTTTCTAATACTTGGAATAATAAAGAATCAATTATTATTATTTTTCTTGGGGTTGTAATTTTTCAGATAAATTCAGCAAGGGTTCCATATGACATCTTTGATTTCTGCCGTTACTTTTTCAAAACTCTCTTAGACTTCGTACTTCTCTTTGTACCACAATATTCTCATCCTTGTGTCCAGAAGAACCTATTTTTGTCATCTTTTGTTGATTTTGTCTTTGCCAACTGATAAAAAATTTTCTAGGTTCTCATTTGTCAGTGGCTTTGCAAGTGATTCAAGCAATTCTGCAACATTCATCAACTTCTATTTCATAAAATGCTGCATCTCTTGTTAAAAATCATAATTTCACTTCACAATATTGATGTTTATTTGCATTATATTACCAGATGTTAATAATATCCATCCATCAGCAAGTGACTGACACCATCAAAGATGCTGACCATGGAACATTAAATAGCAATATGTGTGGGGCCTGATTACATAAGTGGCCAGATCATTAGTAAATACAGTATTGCTATGAAAACTTTTGCTCCTACGCAACCATGTCACTGGAAAGACTTTATAATAAACACTTGGATAAGAAACGAGAGTGAAGGAGAAATCAAGCATGAAAAGAAGTGGGTGAAAGAAGAAAACAAGCACAGAGGAAGGAACAAAAGCAGAGGCCAAGGGTCCCTGTTGTCTAAGTAAAAGCTGGGGCCCCTCATGGTTCAGTCTCCTCATGAAACCAGAGTACAGCCCAGGGACCAGATGTTATTAATATGGAAATTCCAATGTTTTCTTGAGTCTCTTCGGTAACATTAAAGATCCAGTTCAGAGCTCGTAGTAACATTTCTCAAAAAACAAAACCAATTTCCTTCTTTCCTCCAATATTCTCACAGCATGTAGTTGCTGTGGGGCCCCTACGATGACAAACTCCCAAATTCCCTCTGGAGCCCCATCTTCTCTTCTCAGTTTTCTGCTTCTTTATTCCTCCAGTATGGTGGGCTCAACTCTCCCTGAATTTGTGGAGCTGAAACCGGTTTGGCTCAGTGGATAGAGCGTTGGCCTATGGACTGAAAGGTCCCAGGTTCGATTCCGGTCAAGGGCATGTACGTTGGTTGCGGGCACATTCCCAGTAGGGGGTGTGCAGGAGGCAGCCGATTGATAATTCTCTCTCATCGATGTTTCTAACTCTCTATTCCTCTCTCTTCCTCTCTGTAAAAAATCAATAAAATATATTTTAAAAAAAATTTGTGGAATCTTCACCAACCCAGTAAGATCCCTCCCTATGACTAACCTAGGATCGTGACATTATTAATTCAAAATTTACTTCCTTTTCCTTGGGAAGGTTCATATTACATTTCTTGGCTCATTGCTCTTTAACATTACCTTTCCTTTCTGTCAGAAGTGTTAGTATTTCCACCTGCTCCACATGCTCCCCAGCACTTGTTATTGTCTATATTTTGAAGTTGATCCATTAGCTATTTTGGTGGGTGTGAAGTTGATCCATTCTTTCCATAAATACTATTTATCAAGTTGGTTGAGAGGAATCTCCTCAATTCCTGGCTTTCTGAATGTTCTTATCATGAAAGGCTGAGTTTTGTCAAATGCTTTTTCTGCCCTGAGCTGGCTGTTTCTTTCCACTCTGTTCCACTAACGTGGTTCTGCTTATTTTCTTACAGGTAAGCACCCAGGCACTCCTGGGACGGACCCCCTTTAGTCATGGTGTATGATCCTTTCAGTGTGCTGTGGGATTTGGTTTGCTGGTATTTTTTTTGAAAAATGTTTCACTTATATGCATAAGGAATATTGATCTATAAGTTTGCTTGTGATGTCTTTGTCTGGCTTTACTATGAGGACAATGTTGGCTTCACCAAAGAGAGTTGGCAAATGCTTCCTTCTCCTCTGTTTTCAGAGTTTATAAGGAATTAGTACAATTTCATCTTTAAATGTTTGATACAGTACAAACAAATCCTGTCAAGCCATCTGGGCCAGGGATTTCTTTACAGGAAGATTTTAAATGACTTTGTTGTAATCTCTTCAGACTTCTAATTTCTTCCTGAGTCAGTTTTGGTGACTTGTGTCTTTCTAGCAATCGTTCCTGTTCATATATGCTGTCTAATTTGTTGGCGCGAAGTTGTTACCAGCATTGTCTTGTAATTTGTCGATTTCTATAGAGTTGATGTTTATGTTCTCTTCCACTGCTGATTTTGATATTTTGTATCTCCTCTCCCTTTTCCTTGGTTGGGCTAGTTTGTCAATTTGTTGATCTTTCCAAAGAATCAATTTGGTTTTTCTACCATTTTTTTAAAAATTTCTATTTCATCTATTTCATTAGCATCTTTATCACTTCCATTCTTCAGCTTGCTTTGGCTTTATTTTGCTTTATTTTAATTTATTACGGTGGAAGCTTGGATAATTGGTTTCAGATCTTCCTTCTTTCTTTATTTATTTTTCCTTCCTTTTTTTTCTTCACTGTCCTAAATTGTTAATGATTTTACAAACATTACTTATATTGGCGGTAACGGTGGAGCTGGAGAGTAGTGTGCCTTCTCCAAGCCGCACGGCGAGAACCACCAATAGTGTGGTGGGACTTGTGGCCCTTTCTGAGGCCACGGCTCTTGTGCCTGCAGATGTCAGCCTTCACATCTCCCTGTGCTTGTGGACTGGTTTGGTGATCCACTGGGTGTCAGGATTTCTTCTGATAGCCTTATGGAATGGAGCAGTGAGGAGAACCTCAAAGAATTTGTGTGTGGAATCTTCACCAACCCAGTGAGAATTCAGGACTCTCAGAGGCCCACTGTGGTGTCCAGCTAGCTCCTCAGCAGCATACTGAAGGCTTCTAGCAAACTTGAGCTGGTTAGCACCACGATGGACAGGCTACCATTGTCTGCACCCTTAGCAACAGGGTGTTTGTGGCCAACACGGCACACAGAGTCCAATGTATGACCTAGTAGCCTTGCTTGGTCTTGTGTTCCAGTCTGCTGTGCTTTATTGGGCTTGATAGGCAGGGGTTCCAGAGGAGTGCAGAGAGCTGGCGCACTGCCAGCAGCACAGCCTGAAAAGAAAGCACATTGCATTGGCCTGCTTCTTCCTCCATAAGGAAGCCCCCATCTTTGTTTACCTGGTGGCTGTGGGCAGCTGGAAAGGAAAAGACTTTCTCTCACAAATCCTTTTGGGCTCCTCCTCTTCCTTTCAAATATATGTATTTAAAGCCATAAATTTACCTTGTAGCTGCATCCCATAAATGTTGATATGTTGTTTTATTTTCATTCCAAAATATTTTTAAACTCTCCTTGTGATATCTTGAACACATGGGTTACTTAGAAATGGGTGTTTCCGTCTTGTTCATCACTGTATCCCTAACACTAAACACTGTACTTAGCATATGGTAGATGCTCAAATTCCAAATATCCAGAGGTTTCCCAAATGTCATTCTGCTGTTGATTTCTAATTTAATTTTGTTGTTATCAGAGGACATGTTTTGTATCATTTCAATCCTTTTACATAAAAGGTATTAAGACCTGCTTTACAAACTAGCATATAGTGTATACTGGAGAATCCACCAGGGACCCTAGAAACAAATGTGTATTTTGTGGCTGTTACTGGGTACAGAGTTCTGCACATTTTTATAAAAGACATGTATTCTATCTCTAGGAGATCTTCTACTTCATGCAGGAAACCACATGGTAAATGACAGTCATATGCACATTCTATAAAGTACTCACCCAGGTACATATAGCAGGTGGAAAAAAGAACGCATTTCCCAAAGATCCAACTCTGAATTTCAGGAAGAGGAATAATGAGGGAGAAGCTATAAAATGGACTTACATTTATTAAGAAAAAGGTACTGTCATTTTAAAAAATGATTGAAATTTTAAAGCTGATTATTCATGAATATCAGGGTTCCTATTCAGATTGGTTTGGAAAAGACGATTTATCACCGAATATGGATTTTCTAAAATCACATTTATTATAGAAAATATTTATAACCTTATCATGATTAATTAATTACTCACTGTTCAGCATAATGACAATACCTGAATCTAATTGGTAGACAACTGTGCCTTTTTCCTCTCCTACAATTTCTGGTACCTTTTCATTTCCTGTAGGTTGATAAAAATATTCTGGTTGAGATGGAACTCTTTCTGAAAGAAGACATTTAAAAAGTACATAATGAGAAATAATACAGAACCACTTTGTCAGAACCTAAGTTTCTAGTTTGTTTATAAGTTGTCTTGCTTCTTTTCATAAGACTATAAGGATACATTTAACAAAAACACATAAACTTTAAATAGAAGACTTAAAAGTAAGCTGGAAAAGTCAATACAGTTGCTGTACTAACTCTTCAAAATTTGGTCCTGAGCTTCCTTTTAAAATCAGGGAAATATGATCAGCAACATACCTTTTATTAACATAAGTATATTTCTTGTTTCAGATAAAAAAAGGCTTTTTCATCACTCAATTCTGAAAGATTCCTCATATGAAAGTTGGAGAACTTCTCTATGTCATTTTATTATTTTTTAATTTTATTTATTTATTTTAAAAAATATATATTTTATTGATTTTTTTTTACAGAGAGGAAGGGAGAGAGACAGAGAGCTAGAAACGTCGATGAGAGAGAAACATTGACCAGCTGCCTCTTGCACACCCTTCACCGGGGATGTACCCGCAACCAAGGTACATGCCCTTGACCGGAATCGAATCCAGGACTTTTCAGTCCACAGACCGACGCTCTACCACTGAGCCAAACCGGTTTCGGCTCTATGTCATTTTAAGTGATGAAAGCCAAGGGCATAAGGACACAACTCAGTAAAAGACAATGTCCTTTTCTTTTCTTTTTTTTTTTTTTTTACATTTTTTATTAAATTATTATCTGTGTATATATTTTAACATTGCCCTTCCCTCCCCCATACATACCCTCCATCCCCAGAGTTTTGTGTTCATTGGTTGTACTTATATGCATGTATACAAGTCCTTCGGTTGATCTATTATCTCCTCCAGATCTCCCTACCCCTTTTTCTTTTCTTTAAGGTAATGGGGTGTAATGAGGCTCTGACAATTCAGTTTATTGATAAATAGCAAGTACTTGCTATTAGATTTCCTTGAAATTAAAAAAATTGCTTTAAAAAAAGATTTAATGGTTTAGTGGATTACATTTTACACTTTTTATTTTCCTTTTGGAATTATTTTTAAAATCTTCATAGGAATTCTCTTATTCTATTTTATATAGAGAACTAGAAAATCCTATTGTCTGGCCTGGTCAACTTGGACTTTTATATAAAAACTAGAGGCCTGATGCATGAAATTCCTGCAAGAGTAGGCTTTCCTTCCCCTGACTCCCCTCTGGCACCCAGGACCCAGGCTTCCTTCATCGTCTGGAAGGACATCCAATCTAATTAGCATATTACGCTCTACTATTATAGATTGTACAGGATAGGGACAGATGACTTTAGGACTTCTTAGCTACTGTGCCAACTCAAAATGTGCATTCCCCTCCCCACCCACCACACACACATTTCCAAACACCCAAAGAGCAATTCTGTCCCAGTTAGAACACTAAGCCCATCCCTATATTTCAGTTTCATCTCATCTTTCAGGCCTAATGTTTCATGGTTGCCCAAACATGGCATTCTCTTTTTCTATTTCCTCTAATTGGAATACTTTTCTTTGACTCTCTCAACTGGATTACTTCTAACTTCTTCTTCAGATCCCAGTTGACATTTCAACTCCTTTTGGAAACTCTTACTGATCTTAAATGTTCTCAAGGGATCAAACTCTATGCAATTGCCTGGTTGTATCTTTAACTTTCCCGCTAGTCTATGAGCTCTGGGTATCTCAGTCTTGTCCTAACACTAAGCGTGGTACTGTAACACTAAGCATTGTACTTAGCATAGGGTAGATGCTTTATAAATATTTATAAGTGAATAATAAATGAGGAAAGGGAGAAAATAAGAAACATTCAGTTGTTTATCCAGTAGTCTAAAGCAGAGACATGATGTCTGCTAGGTATAAATTATTCCACCAATTAGAAAAGTCCCCATTTCTGAAAATGCTTCATAAAATGAGTGCTGAAGCCGAAACCGGTTTGGCTCAGTGGATAAAGCGTCGGTTTGAGGACTGAAAGGTCCAGGGTTCCGGTAAGGGCATGTACATTGGTTGCGGGCACATCCCCAGTGGGGGTTGTGCAGGAGGCAGCTGGTTGATGATTCTGTCTCATTGACGTTTCTAACTCTCTATCCCCCTCCCTTCCTCTCTGTAAGAAATCAGTGAAATATATTTAAAAAAATGAGTGCTGAAGATTATATTTGCACCAATAGCTCAAAGATATGACCAGCAATGCCATAAAAAAATGTCTCTACTGCCCAGCTGGTGTGGTTCAGTGGTTATGTGTCAACCCATGTACCAAGAGGTCACAGATTTTATTCACAGTCAAGGCACATGCCTGGATTTTGGGCTTGATCCTCAGTAGGGAGAGTGCAGGAAGCAGCCGATGGATACATCTTCTATATCTCTCTCCCTTCCTCCCTCCCTCTCTCCAAAATAAATTTTTTAAAAAGTCTCTACCATTCCCATAAAAACTCCAATAAACTAAAATATAATAAGAAACAGTACAAATTACACTCTGATATATGGTGTGCATCAACTATATACAAGTCCAGTTAGAAATACAACTTTTATAAAACTCAACTAAGCACATTAATACTGAGAGGGGAATAATCTAGAAAACAGATTTTGGCCTCTAATAAGGTATCCTCCATTCTAATGGACTCTGAAACATTCTAATTTACACATTAGTGTAACTTTTGACTTTGGTGAGTGTATTTCAATATCCCAGGGTGAGATTATCATTTTGGGGTGAGATGAGAGATGTTGAATCTGTCCTGCCTTGTATTATACTTTAGCACACAGGACTTAAAACTATGAGGTTTTGTAATAAAGAACAGCAAGACCATGATACATAGTCACATACCAATATGATGAATGCTTTCTTTGATGACCTCGCATTCTATCGGCCACCTGGGAGCCTGCAGTGGCCCGGAGCAAGAGTAAAAGGCAAAGAGATCTTGGGGTTCTCGAAGACATGGGCTTACTTCACCAAAATCATCGTGAAGAAAGAGTCTGCTCCTGAGCAGTGATGAACTCAGCATAAAGGAATCTGCCAAAGGGCAAGGGAATGAGTGAATGGTTTCTTTCCTCCTTGGGAACCTCACTGATCAACTAGAACCACTAAGTAACTCTAGGCATTACTAAAATATGAGCACAGCCCTAGCTGGTGCTCAGCGGTTAGAGCAGACAGAAGGGTTGCAGGTTCTATTCCCAGTCAAGGGCACCTACTTTTTTTCTTTGTTTGTTTAAAAAAAAAAAAAAAAAATATATATATATATATATATATATATATATATATATATATATATATATAATTTATTTTTTTACAGAGAGGAAGAGGGATAGAGAGTTAGAAACACCAATGAGAGAGAATCATCGATCAGCTGCCTCTTGCACACCCCACACTGGGGATGTGCCCGCAACCAAGGCACATGCCCTTGACCAGAACCGAACCTGGGACCCTCTGGTCTGCAGGCCGATGCTCTATCCACTGAGCCAAACCGGTTTTGGCAAGGGCACCTACTTTGGTTGGAGGCTTGATCCTTGACCCAAGTCAGGGCATGTGCTGAAAGCAACCAAGCCATGTATCTCTCTTACATTGATGTTTCTCTCTCTTCCCCTCCTCTTGTCCTTCCATTTTCTCTCTTTCTCTTTCTCTCTCTTTCTCTCTCAAAAAAAAAGAACAGATGTGCAATCCAACCACATATTTTTCCTTCAAAGAGATTTAGTCCAGGATGATGACATAGAAATGATAAAAATCAAATTAAAATTTGACACAGTCTATTAAATATTTAAGTGTGAAGTTTTTTTTTTTAAATTATATTTTATTTATTTTTTACAGAGAGGAAGGGAGAAGGATAGAGAGTTAGAAACATCGATGAGAGAGAACATCAATCAGCTGCCTCCTGCACACCCCCTCTTGGAGATGTGTCCACAACCAAGGTACATCTCCTTTACCGAAATCGAACCTGAGACCTTTCAGTCAGCAGGCCAATGCTCTATCCACTGAGCCAAACCCGTTTGGCTAAGTGTGAAGTTTTAAGAATAAATTAAAAGAAACATTTTTGAGTTTAAAAAAAAATCTAATGTATTTAAGACATCTCAACAGTGAGCTGCAAATGAATAAAAAGTTATTTAGTGTATTCTATTATTTTTGTTTAGTGAGAGGCAAGAGACCGAACTTTCAACTCACCCATTAGCATTTTAGAAAAATGTACATAAAACTATTAAAAACAATCTGCAAATTAAATTTCAAATTCAAAATATAACCATTCCAAGGACAGCGACTTTGAAACAGGATGATACGGGAAGTGGGAGAGTAGTGTGAATGGTCAGGAGGGAGAGAGAGTAGGTCTTGGCAAGTAGAGAATGAGAAAGAAGGGAGGGAAAGAAAGGCTTTCGGGGAGAAAAAAAAAGAAAGGAAATGAGAGGAAGAATGAAAAGACAGAAAATAATGGGGAAGGAACCAAGGCCCCTCAGTGTGCTGGTTCTCAGCTCTGGTGGGGAGAGGAAGAAGGTGAAGGAGTTCTGAGTTTTCTGGGCTGGAGGGACATGAAATACCTTTGCTCACAGCTTCTGCCTGTTGATGCACAGCTGAGGATAGACAGGTAGAGCCTAAAAAGAGGGAGGAGGAGGCACGGTTTGTCTTTCTTTTCTCTGCCCCTTTCCCTCCTCCCACCCCCACTACGTCTGTATCTAAATCTTTTCTTCACTGTTTAATTGGGGTGGGGGGGCCCAATAGAGATTTTAAAATATGGTGAAGCTCTTCAATCCCACTCATAAGGAAATGTAAATCAAAATGACAAGGAGACGCCAGTTTTTTACCTAATGGGAAAAACATTTCCAGGTTTGCACACTCATCCTGGCAAAGGTGTTAAGTAAATAGGTACTCTCAGGCACTGCTGCCAAGAAGCCCAATTGGTTGCAACCATTCTGGAAAGCAGTCTAGCAGTACCTACATAGTATGATTTAAATTCACACACTCTTTTTTTTTTTTTTTTTTAAACCCTAATCCAGAAGCTGGAGAAAAAATTCAAAGGTCATGCTAGCATTTATTGAGCACTTACAAATTATTAGAATGTGTAAGAATATCTGCATATATTCAATAGTGAGAAATGATGGTACCTTAGGCTGGGGGCAGGGAGGATATGGAGTAAAGAGAAGCAAATTGATCTTTGGTTGATTATGTCTTTAAGGGGGGGAAAAATCTATTGAATTCTTGCCCTTGGATTCTAGAAGAAACCTGTGGGATACCTTTAAAAATTATTTTTGCTTAAGCTGGAATTGGTTTCCACCACTCGTTCACAAAGGGCCTTAACAAATATATCCATCAAACCTGTGTGAAAAATCTTGACCAGAAAGTTTGAACAAATTTTCCAACAAATCGGAGGAAGGCAATGTGTAGTATCAATATTTTCATTTACACCTACAATACAAAATAGATCTAGAGGGAACATTTTTGAGTGATGGCAGAAACAGTGGCCAAGGCTGCTCCTCTGGCTTCTACCATCGACCATGTTCTCCCGAACATCTAGAGCAGCTGCTCAGGGCAGCGAGGGCTCTGGGGATCACACACACTGTGTCTCACTCACATAGAAGGTTCTCCTTTTCCAGGTGGTCTGCTATCAAATCATCTCTTCCCCTAAAGGAGTCACTCAAGACAATTCGGGGATTATTCTTCCGAACATGCTGGTGCGTAGCAGAGCTTGGTACACTGCCTCTTCCAGCTAAGAAAAGGCAGTTTAAATTACAGGCGCTGGAAGGCTAGTTACCACCCCTAACATCCAGGTGCATCCCCGCACCACTACCACCGAACCCCCACTACCACAGGCCTTTACAATGAATGCATCTCATGTTCCAAAGAGTTTTCACATTTCTGTTTACTTGAGTTAAACATCATTTTCTCCGTTTTACAGTGAGGAGAGACCTGAGAGGCAGCATGATGTAGTGGAAGGAGAAAGGGCTTGGGAGGCAGAAAGACGGGGTAGCGGCTGGCATAAGAGCAGCCAAGAGGGCCACAGCCACGTGAAGGCTGATACTGCAAGTGGCAGTGGAGCTGCTCTGTCCTGAGGGCTCTGCTGAGTCTGGCAAACTGGAAATTCAGTTTTCAACAACTTAGTAATCACTTAAAAAGTGAAATAGTTAATAGGAAAGTTTAGCCGAACCCGGTTTCGCTCATGGTAGAGCGTCGGCCTGAAGAGTCCCAGGTTCGATTCCGGTCAAGGGCATGTACATTGGTTGTGGGCACATCCCCAGTGGGGGGTGTGCAGGAGGCAGCTGATCGATGTTTCTCTCTCATCGATGTTTCTAACTCTCTATCCCTCTCCCTTCCTCTCTGTAAAAAAATCAATAAAATATATTTTTAAAAAATAGAAAAGTTTAACAAGGTTGACAGAAATAAAATCAATATAAAACTTGATTTTATTTCTGAATACAAGGAGCAAAGTTAGAAAAACCAAAATTTAAAAAGATACCATTTCAACAGCATAAAAATATGAACATTATGAAAAAACTATACTAGTAAACCTTTATTGGGAGAAATTAAGGAAGGCCTAAATAAATGGAGAATTAGACTATATTCAGAGATTGGAGAACCCAATATTGCTAAATTCTCAGTTCTTGTGAAATGAGATTTTATAGATCCAATAATTTTTTTTAAAACATCACAAGCCAATTCGAAGACTATATAAAAAGGCAAGAATAACCAAGACACAATACAGCATATTGAAACATTTAAAGGAAAACAAAAATACTGTCTTAATGCCATAGGGTAGAATGAACAAAGAGTGGTATTAGTGTAAGGGCAGACAAACAGATAATGAGGAAATGGATACCTTTCAGTAATAGTGTTGGAAAAATTCATCATTAGTTTTATCCTAGCATGACTCTCCCGGTTAATGAAACAATTGCCTTCATGAACCCAGGAAAGGTGGTGCTGGATAAGAACAAGATATTACCTTTGAAGTAGCCATAGTACTGGAGATGATGGTACATAAAGACTTCATAGGGATCAGGAAGAGTCTGTGAAAGGAAAGGCCATCTCAATCAGGAAAGCCCTTTCAAATCGTACTGAACTCTTAGCAAAAGGTAGGCAAGCACTGTTGCAGAGGGCAGTATACTTGACTTCTGTAAATAAACCAAGTATGAGGTATTCGTACAAAACATTCTGTCTCGGGAAATCAAGAACTCCAGCTAGAAAAAGAAGCCACCAGAATATACCTTCTGATCTAGTATTGGATGTCTGTGGAGTTCCCGGAAAGGGGTGTGTACCCACCTTCTGCTTTAGCTCTGCTTCCAGTGCTGGGAACATGTTGCTTCTGTATGACATACGGAACGAAAGTCAGTCACACAGGCATCCAGCCACAACCCTGGCCCGGGTTCCACAAGGGCAGCTGATTACACAGCAGAAGCTGAAAAGCCAGAACAGGACGACTGAAACACCTGCCCATGGTCACCGTGCCCAGCCTGGGCTCCCGCAGCTCCCCCGCGGTTCTAGGAAACCCTGCCCCATGGCTCCCTTCTTCCTGCCCTCTCAGCGCCTGGCGGTCCCCCTCCTGAGGCGGAGGCGTACCTGAGAAACGGGGGAGGGCGACGCGACTCCCAGCCTTCTCCCGAGGCCCCCGAGCGCTTGCAGGCCCCATGCTTTCCTCTCCGCAAGCAGAAAGGTGCCGCGAGATAGTGAAACAAGCGAGAAAAAGTTATCTCGGGGTGGATGGAAAAGAAAAGTCAGAGGCCCGAAATCCAGGGGTTCAGGGCTTCCTGGTCCGGGCGAAGGCGTGCGGGGCAGTTTCCCGGAGGGTGGTGGTGGGGGAAGGAGGAGGGCTCCCGGCTCAGCTGAAGGCCCCCGGCGAGGCGGGAGGCCACGGCGCAGCAGGTACAGATGCCAGCGGTGCACGGGGCAGAGGCAACCTCGCTCACCCGCCACCGCTTTCGGCCAGGACGCCGGTAGCCTAGCAACCACGCAACCAAAGCAGGAGGGCGGGGCGGCCGGGCGCTTCCGGGGAGCGAGGCCCCGCCCCCCAGGGAAAGTTGTTGCGCCCGGCTTTTGGGTAAATCAGTAGTAATTTGGTTGAAATACAAAGCCTGCAGTCATACTCCAAACTTCTTTGCTGTTCCGTTAGGTAACAAGGAAAGCCAGCTCAACGCCGGAAGTGAGGAATTACTTTCACTGGGCAGGCGTGGCTCAGGGGTTAAGGTTGGATTCCCGGTCAGGGCACCTGCAGGGGTTGCGAGCGCCATCCCCAGTAGGAGGCATGCAGAAGGCAGCGGATTAATGATTCTCTCATCTCTCCCACCCTCTTCCTTTCTGAAATCAATGAAAATATATAAGAAGTAAAAAATCAATTAAAAATATTTGAAACTTTCTACAAAAATATAGTTAAACCCACATATTTTGACTGTCAGATTTTTAAAAATATCAATTTGGTAGGATAGTGACAAGAAATTTAACAGCTAGTTGACAAGCCTCTATTTCTAGAAATTTGCTCTATGCAATTACAAGAAAAAACATTTAGCCTTGGCTGGTTTTTCTCAGCGGCTAGTGTCGCCCCATAAATGAGGGGTTCCTGGGTTTGATTCATGGTCAGGGGCCCTGGATTTGAGTAGGTCAAACATTAGCTATTATAGAGTACAAGCTCCAAAATTGAAGACACACAGCATCTTCTGGTACTAGAAGTGTTTTTCTAATCCTGCCCATCTTCAGATTCAAGATCTTGCTTTTTTTCTAGAGCTGTTCTTTTAATGTTTGCCTCTCTACCATATTTTATTGGAAAAAACTATTGAGATTGATTGACTTAAAATAAGTCTTGGTTACATAATCATGAAGTAACAGGTTTACAAGAGCAAAAGGACAATCAGAAGTATAAAAAAAGCTTTATTAGTGTATATATACAAATTTACAAGGTCAGAAACTGGAGAAATACAAAGAGTTTTAAAACACAATTTGCCTTTTCTTCAGTTTAAAGTGACTTTTACCTGATTGTGATACAATAGAAAATACAGAACAGTAAACTGCTTTTTAAATACTGGAATTTTATGGAAAACACGTTCACACATGAAAGGGAAGTGAATTTTGGAATAAGACAGTGGAGACAATATCAACACATACAAGTGGCTTTTGTTCCATTTACTGCCGCAGATGTAAGGGGAAATTCTCAAGATCAAAGACCTGAGCTTGCTGCTGCTGCCTGTGCTGAAATTTAAATATTTCATCTGGTATAGTACGTGTGAGATAGAATAGTGTGGCCATCTATCAGCACATGATAAACAACTTGATTTTTCCTAGCACTCCAGGGTGGCAGACTGGAGGAAGAGGTTAGAAAGATCTGATAATCCCAGTTAAGCAAGGTAGAATATAGAGCTTCCTTCTTAATTGCACTTGTTCTGGAGAAGTTAATGAGAGAGAACCATATAGGAACATTTATTGAGCCTCCATTAGGCAGGAAAATCCTTCACTTTTGTCAGTGTCCTCTAAAAAATTTAACCACTCGTAAGCCACATGATCCAGAGTGATGAGGTTAATATACTTAACAAGTTGAGTTTGTATGAACAAACTCAGCCAGGACAAAGCAGTCACCTTACCCTTCAGCAAAGCAGAAAATTTCATTTCCCAAATGTGAAAACTCTATAGGTGTTATGTTCTTGGCCAGGAAATTCAAAATTCATATGTTCTCCCTCATAACATTTATGGTTTATTGACAACATAAAACAGGTTAAGACTCTGAACTGAACACACACATCCACACACCACACACACATCCATACACGCCCAATAAACATTTGTTTTTTAATTTTAAAAAATATTATGTGTTTGGAGCCATTTTCCTTCGCTTCAGTCTTGCTCGCCAATCTTCAGGAAGGGCTTCAAAATTAGCATTTCTCTCTGCCATGCCACTGTGAAAGCAAAAAACAGAGTACTTCACTGGGAAGAAAAATAATCTGTTTATTACCTAGCAAATAAAAAAAAACCTTTTAACTGAAACTGAAAATCTGACCTATCACATCTATGTTCATGAAAATGCTTCAAGTTTCTTAGCTAAGTACCAGCAAATTCTTTATCAAATTTCTTCTGATGGATCAACAAAAGACATAGAACATTTTATTTTTATATATCTCCAACAACCATTAAAGTCACACTGAAGGAACAAAACATTCTTATAAAAGTTTCTCTTGGCCACTAGAAGTGATGATTCTTTAAGGAAGATTTATTTAACCTTCAATATACCATAAGGGACCTTTGGTCCTTATGTTTTAGAAATTCTCTTTTGATCAGTTCTATTTGTAAAGATTGATAACTCATAACTTAGTCATGTAAAAAATAGATTAAAGCTCATATCCTATCTTGCAATGATCAGAATGGGTGCACTGGATACTTTTATAAATCTCAAATAATTTAGATAAATTACAAGATCATTCTGATTGCCTCTCATCATCTTAAATCGTTTCCTATTTCATCTTATAGGAATTCATCATTCAATTCCCAGCAATAATAAAAAGGAGTATAAACAAAAACAAAACAAACAAAAAAAACTGAATAGAATCACCTATGAGGATGATGCAAAAGTGAAATAGTCACTAACACCATCCCTCAGTTTTATTATTATTATTATTATTTTTTTTTTTTACTTTTTATTTTTTTTTATTTTTTATTTTTTTTTATTTTATTTATTTTTTTTAATCAATCTTTATTGTTCATATTATTACAAAGGTTCCTCATTTCTTCCCCCCTCCACCAGGTTCCCACCCCACCCTCCGTCCCCCCCCCATCCCCCATTGTCCTCATCCATAGGTGCAGTTTATGTTCAGTCTCTTCTTCCCTCAATTTCCCCAATAGTAAATCCCTTTTCAGATAGTAAATCAGTTACTTAGCATTTTCTCATATCAATAATACCTCCACATGCCCAATGATACACTTCACACAAAAGACATTTCCCAATAGGTCCACCAGCCTCATCCAGGCCCCACCCAAGGCACTCACAGATCAACACCCCAGTCCTAAACTAACTCAACACATCCAGATCTAAGCCTTCATCACTTGATTCAGCAGACCCTCAAGTTCCCACGAAAGTTTCCAGCCATGTCTGAGAAGCAGCCGTGGGGCAGGGGCAGGCAAGGAGCGAGCTGTTCTGGGCCTGGCTGCTCAGGGCCTGGCCTCTGTTGCTCTGGTTCATTCCACAACCAGCTGCTCCGGGTCTGGTCACTGCCGCTCCCGACCTAGTTGCTCTGGACTTGGCTGATGCTGCTCCGGGCCTGGCCGCTCCCAGCCTGGCAGCCGCTGCTCCGGGCCTGGCCGCACCCGACCCGCCTGCTCCCCCGGGCCTGGCCGCTCCCAGCCTGGCAGCCGCTGCTCCGGGCCTGGCCGCACCCGCCCCGCCTGCTCTCCCGGGCCTGGCCGCTCCCAGCCTGGCAGCCGCTGCTCCGGGCCTGGCCGCACCAGCCCCGCCTGCTCCCCCGGGCCTGGCCGCTCCCAGCCTGGCAGCCGCTGCTCCGGGCCTGGCCGCACCCGCCCCGCCTGCTCCCCCGGGCCTGGCCGCTCCCAGCCTGGCAGCCGCTGCTCCGGGCCTGGCCGCACCCGCCCCGCCTGCTCCCCCGGGCCTGGCCGCTCCCAGCCTGGCAGCCGCTGCTCCGGGCCTGGCCGCGCCAGCCCCGCCTGCTCCCCCGGGCCTGGCCGCTCCCAGCCTGGCAGCCGCTGCTCCGGGCCTGGCCGCGCCAGCCCCGCCTGCTCCCCCGGGCCTGGCCGCTCCCAGCCTGGCAGCCGCTGCTCCGGGCCTGGCCGCACCCGACCCGCCTGCTCCCCCGGGCCTGGCCGCTCCCAGCCTGGCAGCCGCTGCTCCGGGCCTGGCCGCACCCGACCCGCCTGCTCCCCCGGGCCTGGCCGCTCCCAGCCTGGCAGCCGCTGCTCCGGGCCTGGCCGCACCAGCCCCGCCTGCTCCCCCGGGCCTGGCCGCTCCCAGCCTGGCAGCCGCTGCTCCGGGCCTGGCCGCACCAGCCCCGCCTGCTCCCCCGGGCCTGGCCGCTCCCATCCTGGCAGCCGCTGCTCCGGGCCTGGCCGCACCCGCCCCGCCTGCTCCCCCGGGCCTGGCTGCTCCCAGCCTGGCAGCCGCTGCTCCGGGCCTGGCCGCACCCGCCCCGCCTGCTCCCCCGGGCCTGGCCGCTCCCATCCTGGCAGCCGCTGCTCCGGGCCTGGCCGCTCCCAGCCTGGCAGCCGCTGCTCCGGGCCTGGCCGCACCCGACCCGCCTGCTCCCCCGGGCCTGGCCGCTCCCAGCCTGGCAGCCGCTGCTCCGGGCCTGGCCGCACCCGACCCGCCTGCTCCCCCGGGCCTGGCCGCTCCCAGCCTGGCAGCCGCTGCTCCGGGCCTGGCCGCGCCAGCCCCGCCTGCTCCCCCGGGCCTGGCCGCTCCCAGCCTGGCAGCCGCTGCTCCGGGCCTGGCCGCGCCAGCCCCGCCTGCTCCCCCGGGCCTGGCCGCTCCCAGCCTGGCAGCCGCTGCTCCGGGCCTGGCCGCACCCGACCCGCCTGCTCCCCCGGGCCTGGCCGCTCCCAGCCTGGCAGCCGCTGCTCCGGGCCTGGCCGCACCCGACCCGCCTGCTCCCCCGGGCCTGGCCGCTCCCAGCCTGGCAGCCGCTGCTCCGGGCCTGGCCGCACCAGCCCCGCCTGCTCCCCCGGGCCTGGCCGCTCCCAGCCTGGCAGCCGCTGCTCCGGGCCTGGCCGCACCAGCCCCGCCTGCTCCCCCGGGCCTGGCCGCTCCCATCCTGGCAGCCGCTGCTCCGGGCCTGGCCGCACCCGCCCCGCCTGCTCCCCCGGGCCTGGCTGCTCCCAGCCTGGCAGCCGCTGCTCCGGGCCTGGCCGCACCCGCCCCGCCTGCTCCCCCGGGCCTGGCCGCTCCCATCCTGGCAGCCGCTGCTCCGGGCCTGGCCGCTCCCAGCCTGGCAGCCGCTGCTCCGGGCCTGGCCGCACCCGACCCGCCTGCTCCCCCGGGCCTGGCCGCTCCCAGCCTGGCAGCCGCTGCTCCGGGCCTGGCCGCACCCGACCCGCCTGCTCCCCCGGGCCTGGCCGCTCCCAGCCTGGCAGCCGCTGCTCCGGGCCTGGCCGCGCCAGCCCCGCCTGCTCCCCCGGGCCTGGCCGCTCCCAGCCTGGCAGCCGCTGCTCCGGGCCTGGCCGCACCAGCCCCGCCTGCTCCCCCGGGCCTGGCCGCTCCCATCCTGGCAGCCGCTGCTCCGGGCCTGGCCGCACCCGCCCCGCCTGCTCCCCCGGGCCTGGCTGCTCCCAGCCTGGCAGCCGCTGCTCCGGGCCTGGCCGCACCCGCCCCGCCTGCTCCCCCGGGCCTGGCCGCTCCCATCCTGGCAGCCGCTGCTCCGGGCCTGGCCGCTCCCAGCCTGGCAGCCGCTGCTCCGGGCCTGGCCGCACCCGACCCGCCTGCTCCCCCGGGCCTGGCCGCTCCCAGCCTGGCAGCCGCTGCTCCGGGCCTGGCCGCACCCGACCCGCCTGCTCCCCCGGGCCTGGCCGCTCCCAGCCTGGCAGCCGCTGCTCCGGGCCTGGCCGCTCCCAGCCTGGCAGCGCTGCTCCGGGCCTGGCCGCACCCGCCCCGCCTGCTCCCCCGGGCCTGGCCGCTCTCAGCCTGGCAGCCGCTGCTCCGGGCCTGGCCGCTCCCAGCCTGGCAGCGCTGCTCCGGGCCTGGCCGCACCCGCCCCGCCTGCTCCCCCGGGCCTGGCCGCTCTCAGCCTGGCAGCTGCTGCTCCGGGCCTGGCCGCACCTGACCCGGCTGCTCTGGGCCCGGCTGCCCCGGGCCCGGCCGCTCCGAGCCTGGCCACTCCCGACCTGGATGCTCTGGGCTTGGCTACTGCTGTTCTGGGTCTGGCTGCTCCCACCCTGGCTGCTCTGGGCCCGGCTTCTTCGGGCCCGGCCACTCCGGGTCTGGGTGTTCCTGGACTGGCCACCCTGGGCTTGGCCGCCTCCGCCTCATGCCTGGCTGCCACTGCCCCAGGTCTGGCTACTCCAGTGCTGGCTGTTGATGCTCTGGTTCTGGCTGCTGTTGTTCTGGGGCCTGGCCGTTGCTGCTCCGGGTCTGGCTGCCACTGCCTTGTGCCTGGCCACTCTAGGCCTGGCCGTCGCTGTTCCAACATTCTGTCCTTTTTTTTTCTTTTTAAAATGCATTTATGTTGCAATGTTGGCTGGTGAGTTGAGTTCTGACTTAGTCTTTGATTTTTCAAGATCTTCTTTGTATTCTTTCTTAAGTAATTTTACTATTTTTTGCTCTCACTTGATTTCTTCACATTGAGAACTTCTTTGGTTTCTTCCTCCTTGTCCTGGGAGCTCAGCAGGTTGGCCTGTGGCACCCCTTTGTTCTCTGCGGGCTCCTGTGCTGCTTCAGCCTGTTGGCGGGACGGCACCGCCCAGGAAGCAGCCCCCGGCCTTGGCTCCATTGCCCGAGCTCAGTGGTCAAAGGCTCAGGGGCACCCACGCCCCCAGGGGCCCCGTGGCCCGCCTCCTTACTGGTGCCAGGTTGGCTGGAGTCCGGCAGGGGCTTCCGCTCCCCTCCGCGTTCCCCCAGCCTAGGGCTTTTTTTTTTCTCCTTCCTGCTAGGGAAGTCCAGCATCAGTGTCAACAGACTGTCCTCTGCGCGCAGTTTGCGCGAGTCCCGGGGGCCCGGCCTTTCGCTGCTCTCCCAGGACTCCACTTCACAGCCCCGGCTCCCTCTGCCTGAGCCTGGGTCCCCAGGGATTGGCCCAGAACTGGGGTTCGGAGCAGTCCGGACTGAGGCCCAGCGCCGCCGGAGGCCTTGTTTCTTCCGGCTAGGGCAACCCAGCATCAGAGTCAACATTCAGTCCTCTGCGCGCATTGCGCGCGACTCCCGGGGCCCTGCCTCTCGCCGTTTTTCTGCCTCACAGCCCTGTCTCCTCCCGCCGGAGCCTGGGTCCCCAGGGTCTGGCCCATAACTGGGGCTCAGCGCTGTCGGTTCGGGGGGGCTCAGCGCTGCCGGTTCGGGGGTTCAGCCCAGGCTGGGGGTTTTATTTCCTTCCTGCTAGGGAAGGAAAGGCGGCTCCCCGCCCTCTCCTCCTCTCCGGCTGCGACCTCTCCGTGCGCGCGTGCGGGCGGGCAGGCGCGCGCAGCATGTCTCCATACCTTAGGCTTTTTTTCAGCTCCTCTGATTTTCTTTCTGGTTTTCTCTTTCCTTCTTGTTGTAGAAATTTCAGTCAGTCGACTACCTGTAGCTCTGGGCAATGTCCACTCTACATTTTAGTTGTATTCCATTGAAATTGTTGTGTGCTGCCGCGGCTAGATGTCTACCCGAGCAGCCATCTTGGATCCTCCCCTCCCTCAGTTTTATTATGATGTTGCCAAAAATAGAGCATCACCTCTCAATGAAGTTCGGAGACATTTGCAGTCTTTTTTTGCTTTTACAAGTATAAGATGAATGCAAAGAGACAGAGAGCAGCACTAGATTCAATTTCATAATCTAGTATTTTATAATATGAACCTGGGCCATCTAGATTTCCTAAAAAGATGTAGCAGGAATCTTTCCTGTTTTCTGATGCTACATGCTGAAATTTATTTGATAGGGTTCTCAAGTAGACAAATGCTGAAAGCAAGTGTGCAGTGATTGGAGAGAAGTAGATATTTTAGAAACAAATCCACTGGAATGACCATTCAATTGATGTATATTTATGGAAAAAAATGTTTTCAATTATAAAGCAATGAATGACTATCTTCTCTCAAAAAATTTTTTAGTGAGTACATAAAGTATGATACTGTTTACTTTGTATATATATTTTTAACATTACAATTTATTTCCAAATGTTTTCACATGTACTGTGTTTACGGATGTTGCAAGAGCAAGAACCATAAATAAGCTAGACCTATCAGAGGTGAATTTGAAATTTGGCATCACTATTTATGAAAGAAGTATGGTCCAGATTATACATGACAATTGAAAAATATTAGAAGAATGTTGCTCATTTCAGTGTATATACCTTTCAAAACCAGGAAAATAAGGAATGCAAATTTGGGTTAACTACCGTGTTTCCCCGAAAATAAGACCTAGTGCATGGAAAGATAAAGACATCCCCTGAAAATAAGACCTAGCGCAACTTTGGGAGAAAAAATTAATATAAGACACTGTCTTATTTTCAGGGAAACAGGGTATGTGTAAATTATTATTAAAATTTCTTTAAAAAATATATTTTATTAATTTCAGAGGAAGGGAGAGGGAGAGAAAGAAACATTGATGAGACAGAATTATTGATTGGCTGCCTCCTGCATGCCCCCTACTGAGGATTGAGCTCACGACCTGTGTATGTGCCCTTGATGGGAATCGAACCCAGGACCATTCAATCCACAGGCTGAGGCTCTATCCACTGAGCCAAACTGACTAGGGCCTTATTAAAATTTCTAATAAAGTGTTCTCCCTTTCCCGTTGTTTTTACCTTGGTAAATTATCCTATATAATAAAAGCCTAATATGGTAAGTGTCTGCTTTGTCCATTCAATTAATTGAAGTGTAATCTCTCTCTATATATATAAAAAGCCAGTGTCTGTGATGATTAAGACAACCAAATGACTGGTCACCATGAGGTGCATTGAGTACCTGTTGGTCCCACCCCTGTGGCCCACAGGTTCCAATGGCAGCAAGGTGGGCAGCAGGTGAGCGGCGCCACAAGCAGTGGCGGGCCAATGCATGCGATTTCGTGCCCTAGGCCTCTAGTGTGTAATATGCTAATTAGATCGGATGTCCGGAAGCTGGCGCTAGCAGCGGGGGAGGAGGGGGGAAGGAAGGACTACTCTTGCATGAATTTCATGCATCGGGCCTCTAGTATTGATAATGATTATGCTAAAAGTGCTCAACTGCTTGCTATGATGTGCACTGACCATCAGGGGGCAGATGCTCCAACCAGTAGGTTAGCTTGCTGCTGGTGTCCAGCTGATCAGGACTGAGGGAGACCAGCCAGAAACGCCCTGGAGCCTTCTTGCATCCCTCCCTGACCCTGGTCATGCACTGGTGAGGTCCCTTGGCCTGGCCTGCACCTTCTCCCAATGTAGGCTGAGGGGACCCCTGTCCCCCAGCATGAATTTTGTGCACTGGACCTCTAGTATGTAAAATAAAATGGGGGAAAAAATGTGTAAGGGTCTACTGAATCCATAAGTAAATGGGAAAATATGCTCAGTGTTAAAAATCAGTCCTTTGCATAAGATGAGCAACTGATGGGACAAAGTATTACAATTCTGATAGATCTGATTTTGAAAAAGGCCAAGCCATAATTTTTATAGATAAATGTTTCTCTGAATTAATCACAACCCACCCCACCCCACCTTCTTTTCGTCTCTTTTCTTTTACCTGACCAACTGCTGCTGTTTCCACTCTTCAATTCGCTTCTGTGCAGTTGATTCCCGGTCCTCCTCACTGGAACTAGAGTTCTCCTCTTCATCTAACTCACGCTGTATGCTCTGCCACTTCTTTACCAGAGATGGCATTTTTGTTTTACTCTTCTTTGCCTATAACAAAGATTAAAGGTCAGAAAGAATTTAATACATAAAATAAGAAAATGAGTCCTCCATATGACATTAGGATTTTTTCTTAGTGCTAAGGAATAAGTAAACTTGAAAACCAAAAGAACAGAAAAACAAAATAAATACCATTATACAGTTTTGCCACCAAAGGTTTCTACCAACTATAAACTTAATGCTTGGTTAAAAATCTAAAAACTGTAAATGTAGCTATTTTACGAAATCAGATCAGAAAAATTTCCTTTAGTCTCTAATTCTATGGAGTTCAGAACTGTAGCCCTTATCTCATCTCAGAATTATGGTGATCCCCTTTAAAAATTTTATTACTATATACCCAAAAGAAATGAAAACAAGTACTCAAATTCACATTTCTATCGGTACTATTCATAATAGCTAAAAATGTCCATCAATGCATGAATGGATAAGCAATTTGTGATATATACACATAAGAACCCTTACTCAGCTATAAAAGATGAAGTACTAATACTAATACAAGCTAAGGTTTATACAACATAAATAAACCTCAAAAACATTGTGCTAATAAGTAAAGGAAGCCAGGCATTAAAGGTCACCTATTAATGATTTCAGAATATGTAAATCTACAGAGTCAGAAAGCAGACTGGAGGTTCCCAAAGACTTGGGTAAAGAGGTGATGGGGAATGACTACTTAAAGAGCACAAGGTTTTATGCTGAGGTGATGAAAATGTTTTATAACTAGAGAGAGGTGGTCATTACACATTGTAAATGTACTGAAAGCTATAGTATTGTATACTTTAAAATGGTTAATTTTATATAAATACCATCATAATAAGACATTCCCCCCCCCCCCACCCCAAATAAAAACTAAAAGGGAGATTTACTATACCTTATCTTTCTTTCCTTTTTTTGTCTTCTCAGGCGGTGGCACTTTGGGAGCTGGTGGAGGTGGTGTTGATGGAGGAGGCGGAGGCGGAGGCGGTTCTACAACAGCAGTTGTAGGCACAGCACTTCGAGCCGGTACTGGCTGCAATGTGGGAGCAGCCACTGCCATTTGGACAGAACATTCAGCATAATTCATAATTGCAGAAGCTGATGCCAGTCCTAGGTAATTTGACTGCAAGCTCATTCCTCTGGCTTGATGACCCATTCCTGTTGCTGGATGGCTAACTGATGATACTGCCTGGTGTCCAATCCCTGCAGACTGTTGTCCAGTCCCTGTTGCCTGATGACCTAACATGAAAAGCATACAAGAAACTTTATGACAAAGGCCAAAAACAAGAAAAAGAAGGAAAAGGGAACCAAGAAATTTGTAGATCAACATAACATATCTTTTCATAAACAAACAAACAAGCTACATTTTCTGGTAGCAAAATATTAATTTCTTAGTACTTTAGCATTAAGGTACTTAACACAAAAAAATCAATGTTACGTAAATGCACAGAAAACACTCTGGAAGGACACATACCAAACTGTTAATAGTAACTAAAGTTTTTATCAAGTGAAAAGAAACACATGTAGTTTTTGCAGTGAAAACCCATTAAAATTTCTTTATGACATACAATTCTGGAAACAAAGATATAATACATCGAGGAAAACATTTTAACCATAATGCTTACCTGTAGCTATAGCTGGCTGGCTGTACAGGACTGGAGAACTACCGATGGTAGCTGATCTCTGAACTACTGCAGTACTAATTTCTGTAGCTTTTCTCTTTACAGCCTTAGTGGAAGGAGAACTAGAGGTGGTAGAATCAACTGAACTCTGAAATGCAAAAGATCCTAGTCAGTGCTGCAAAAGGCCCTAAACATCCTCTTCTAAAATAGAGCATGGTGTCAATTATGCCCCAGTCCCCAGAAACTCTTTAGGATGTCAAATGGTATTCTCACCTGGCTAGTTACAATTGTAGTTTGTGTAGGTTTCAATGGAGTATCCTCCTCTGTTCCTGGGGCAGGAGGCTCCTCATTTCCCTCGTCCTCCATCTCTACCTCCTGGATCTCACTATCTTCTACTGGAGGAGGAGGTGGGGGAGGAGGAGGAGGAGGAGGAGGGGGAGGAGGGGGAGGGGGAGGAGAGTCCGGGGGTGGAGGTGGGGGTGGTGGCATTTCCAAAGGTAATGGAGGTTGAAGCACAGGCACATTTGACTGAAGGAGGGTCCAGAATGGAGTAAGTGGCATGAGTGATGAAGAAGACACTTGACCAGTAAAGGACTCTTTACAAAGAGAACCTAAAAAACCAAACAGGAATCAGGGAAAAGGCAAGACAAAAATTCCGTATTTACAGAAATGCGCAATTGACTGGTGAGACAAAATATGACCCACAGACCTATTCTACACTGGTGCCACTGAAATACTAAATAATTCAGTTCAAAATGATTTTCATGGAAAAATAAATTTATAAACACTCACCCTAGCTATGAAATACTAATTTTGTTCTTTGGGTCCAGATTTATGAATAAGTAAGTGAAGCACATCATATCAACCCAATGAGAAATTCAGTCATCTGAACCTATACTAGATTTCAAAATACACAACCTGGCTCGAGCTGGTTAGAGCACTGTCCCATACACCAAGATTTCAGACTGCACCCTCGATGAGGGCACATGTAAGATTCAAGAAATAAATGCATGAATAAGTAGAACAAAAACAAATATTTTTCTCTCTTCCTCCCCTTCCTCTTTCTAAATCATTAAAAAAACCCCGCCAAACCACAGCTAGAAGACAACACTCTAGGTCTTTTTACTTTTAAAGCTAAGGAGCGAGGAGTGATCCCATTTGCAGTACTGATTCCGTGTATTTTTAGTGAGCTAAAAAAGTATTTGAGGATAACCAAGAACACTCACACAAATTCTATCCATTTTAATTAATGTGGGTTAATAAGTTATAAAAATCCATTTGCAAGGTGCTATTGTCAAACCTATCATTCCTTCACATCTCTGTGTGAACTGTACTCATTTGTTAAATCACAGCAACACAAATCAGGGAGGGTAATTTTATTTCTGTGATGAGAAAAGGGAAATTTAGGGGAGTAAATTCTCAAGGTTTGAAGATGCAGAGAATTTGAAGTTGCTGTTGAAGTCTGAATTAAATAACAGCTGAAAAGCTGGAAGATCAGCTTTCCTTTGTTTTTTGCAAAATCCAGTTAACTACCGTCCTTTCTCCTTTCTCTGCTGGGAAATGCTTTAAGGATTAGAGAAAATAGGAGGATATACTTACTTGTAGCCTTCCCCATCCCTCTTTATCGTCAATAGGGAAGTTTCACAATATATGAAACTATTAGATCTATATCCCAGGAATGTTGAAGGGGATTTTCTCCCTAAAAATCATAGAATTTAGGAGTAGAAGAGACATGAGAAATCATCTAGTTCAACCTTCTCTTTTAAAGGTAATGAAACCCAGGAAGGAAAAAACTTGCCCAAGATCATACAGCTCTAAGTGGCTAGTTATTACTCCTAGTCTAGTGCTAGTTATTACTCCTAGTCTAGATTTCCTGGTGAAATATCAAGAGTCCAAGAGCTTTAGAAATCTCAAATAAATCTCACTTCTCTTGGAGTAGAGATCCAGATGCAGGTACCTGTTAAATTTCCTGGTTAAAAGCAGTGGATTAGATATTAGGTCTATTATAAAAGGCTCTGGGACAAAGATAAGACATTTTACTGTTCTTTGCTCAAAATACACTACAATAGCAATTCAACGAAGTGACCATGAACCATTTGGCTTTTATAATAACTTTACTTTTCATGGATCAGAAAAATGACACTTTAAGAATCTGATTCACATGGTTATTGTAATTAGAGTTGTTTACTAAGGAAAAGAGCACTAAAAAAATTCATCAGAAAACAGAAATGCAGTTTTCTAGCTAAAGACTTCAAGTATGTCATTTAAGACTTCAAAATATATCATTAAACTTGTATTTGATTATATCTAATATAAACTTATACACTAATTTTTAGACAAAGTCTTCGTAGGACTATATTCTAATAATATAATTACATAAGACTAAGGTAATAAACGTTACTAAACTTCCTTCTATAAATCAACCACAACATATGGTTGGTAAATAAAAATGTCAAATTTTATAGAATGGCAGATTTCTCATCCTAGAAGCATAATGCATTGCTAATACAGTAATGATGGTGATATGCTGCTGTGCAGAGGAGCTCAAGAAAACATGGGTTCAAGATTACTAATATGATTCAGGACTCCCAAAGTTAATCAGAATTAAACTTTGTGAATATAAGGCAAACTAATCTTGATAAATTTTGCCGTGAACAAGAGCACTTTTAGAGTTAATATTTGAATCCCAAACTACATTTACTTAAAACAAAAGCTGTGTCTTAACATTCATGATCGTCTTTAGCTTAAATACAAAGAACTTAAAAAAATCTAGTTTGAATATTCATGGATATATTACATAACGCTTTTCTTCATTTCTAAATGTAAACTAGTTGGTATCTCTTTTGCCATTTAAGAGAACATGTAAGTCTGAAGTCCAAGGAGAGATTAAAATGGTATACACAGCTTTTATTATATGTTAACAGATTAAAAAGCTGTAAGCTTAAAGACAGAATAGTGCAGGGGATACAAATTTTAAATTACTTAAGAACATATCTTTTCTATGCATCTTTATTTTTATTTATGGGCAGGCCTCCTTTGTTTTTCTGTATTTCCCGAAAGATAAAATTTTGCTTAGTATTTTGAGCCAAGAGCCTACAGTTTAGCAATGTAAAGCAACAAGTTATTATATAAATAACAGGTCCCACAGAGACTTTTTTTTTTTTTTTTGTGAAAAAGCAAATATATTTAAACTAAGTGACACAAGTCCAGTAAGACAGACATACTGGGTTATCTTGAAATATTGCTCATCTTTAGTGACATGTTAAATTCAAACACTGACCAACAAACAAGGATTAAAATAAATAGAACTCTGGAACTTCTTTCCTCTATACAGTGTAGTAATTTTTTCTTCTTTAAAAGATGGTTTAACCACTGCTAAACTGATGAAGAGCACATATTAGAAACTTTCTTTATAGGCTTAAAATAGTGATCAGTATTGCTTTTAAATCCTTAAGGCCTAAATACAAACGTGGATTCTCTTTACATCAAGTTTACCATATGGTTTTAGTGATTCTCTCAATAAAGATGCTGAAGAACATAAGATGGTCTATCTCTGTTTTTTTCCTTACAGTTTAACTTAGTTTTATTTTAATCAGATAGAAATGTCTCAAGGTCTTCCAATTAGGAGTGTCATAAAAAGAGAGAGAGAGAGAGAGAGAGAGAGAGAGAGAGAGAGAGAGAGAGAGAGAGAGAGAGGGAATGAATAACTTATTACCTAACTCTAAGGTGGTAATTTTAGACTATCCAGCTTTGGATCATACAAAAAAGGGACTTCAGACAGTAGTCAAGAGTGGAATCACCTACCCAGAACCATCACTACATCTCATATGTTCACTAATTATAAAAAAAAAAGCAAACAATGAAACCAACTTATTAGACCCTGTGTGTGTCTGTCTATCTTAATCTATCTATCTATCTATCTATCTATCTATCTATCTATCTATCTATCTATCATCTATCACTGTGATCAAAAGAATGGGAAAAAAATAAAATGGTAAGTAAAATACCCGATAACTTGAGAAAATGTATTTCTGAAAAATAAGGTAGAATAAAACCACCCTTTTACTGTTATAAAATTATCACTGAAGTGATATTGGCTTTTTATTTAGAGTGATCTGATAACAATTCCTAGACTATTTAAAAAATTAAAATTATGACCAGTTTCATTTGCTACATCATCAGAATTTTTCTACTGAGATTAGGCAATACAAAGCATTATTTTTGATAAGTAGTGGACAAAAGAATTCAGCTCTTTACTCCCTAATTTTCCAACAAATTCTGTATCTTTTTATCTTCCAAGGTTTATTACTTTAGAAACTGTTCTTCTCTTTTGCCTTCATAGGCCATCATTTTAACAAATAGCTACCAATTTTTTAGATCAAAAGGTTAATCAGTTTTGATTATGTTTCATTATTCACTTATTTTTGTCATTTCAAGATGGACTTTAAGGGAAAAAATATGTATCACCATCCATAATGTGGAAATCAAGCCACAACTCTTAGAAGAGCTATCAGATTCTCAGAGAGACTGAAAAACTATGGAAGCCCCACTCCCCCTTTTAATGTACAGCAGGTCCTCAAATTACCTCATTTTGTTATAACGTCAATGAGATGATATAAGTAGTTAACTCTTGCTGAATCAATCAGCCTATGGTAAAACTGATTTCATTATACATTGTTTTGCTTAAAGTAACAACTTATCTAAGAGTTAAGCGAGGGCTTCTGTACCTAAGTGAAAAGCTCTGACAGTACTTTAAATGGGTTAAGTCATTCTGATTACTTTATAAAAGAATGTTGACTATTTTCAATGATAAATTATTTTGTTTCTCTGGAACAAGTATGGTCCTAATTTCACATCACTTCTTCAAATCATTATGATTTGTAACAACTACCCTTCTTATAGGACTTTAAAAAAAATACTTTTATTGATTTTTTACAGAGAGGAAGAGAGAGGGATAGTTAGAAACATCGATGAGAGAGAAACACCAAATCAGCTGCCTCTTGCACACCCCCTCTGGGGATGTGCCCACAACCAGGGTACATGCCCTTGACTGGAATTGAACCTGGGACCTTTCAGTCCGCAGGCCGACGCTCTATCCAGTGAGCCAAGCCGGTTTCGGCCTTATAGGATTTTTTTTTAATAAGTGGAGCTTATATACTAGCCTACAGAAAGGTGGAACAAATCTCACATTACTCCGCATATTCAACAATCTAGTCCCTTAGCATTAATTAGCATTCCGTTATTGGAAATCCACAGTTTGTGACATGAGAGAGTGGTTATGGGACAGCTTTTTAAAATAAAAATACACTGGCTCATCATTTCATTTTTTATCAATGGTATGCTGATTTCCAATCAGTCACTGTCTTTGTTTTCTTCAGTATAACTTCTGCAATTTTTTTTTTTAGGTCAAGCCATTCGTTTTGAATTAAAAATTTGTTATGATTTAAATTATCTCCTATTTTAATGATCTCAATACAAGTCTTTTTCCCCTCTAATTTCTCTCCAATTAGTACAGGGCAAATTGTCCCACCTGTGGAATTCTCAGAGGATTCTGCAGAGTTTGAATCAGTGCCAGTTTTGTCTTTCAAGGTCTGTTTAGGAAGAGTCTCGTCTTTACTTTCTTGTGCTTGGCTTTCTTCCTCCTCCTCCTCACCATCTGGGAACTCCCATTGAGACTCGCCCGAATGTTCGTTTACATAGAAATATCGTCTATGATCCCTAAATTACAAGAAAAAAAAACACACATGTCTTAAGACCCATTCTCCTACAAAGACACTTGCATTTGGTCCTGTCCCAGGACAGCAGTCTGCTCTCACAGGGACGAACCTCTTCTTAATGGACTGCTATTCACAAAGGCAACAAAGAGCTTTGACATTTGTGGATGGAGAACCAAGGAAATTCAAAGCTATTTGCACTGCCAGCAGCTCTGTGAATACAGCCCTGAGCCCTCTCAACTCCAACAGATGACTTAGAAAACACCTCTCATATTCAGTTTTGTTTGTTTGTTTGTTTTTGCCAATGCTATTCAGGATTTCAAGTGTCATTAATGGAGGGACTCAATTTCCTAGAACATTAATTTCCCTTCCAAAGAAGAGAACAACGAAGTTTGCGAAAGGTGACTCTTCCCCTCTTGGACCGTGGAATTCACATTTCATATTCTTGATACCAAACACAGTGAAAGCTACAGAGAGGGAGAGTATCTGGGAGCTGAAAAATAAAAGAGCAAAGATTTCAAATAACGAAAAAAAAAAAAAATCAAGAAAAGCCAAATATAAAAAGAAATGTTTTCATCTGACCTGCTGGCAGAAGATAGTAATCTTGTTCTTCATTCACATCTTCACCATGAAGCTTTCCTTAACTTCACCGAGGTTAATCAGGAGTAGTTGCTTCCAGAGGTCCTGTAAAGCGCACAGAGCTCTCGCATGCGCTTAACCCCAAGCCCGCCCTACTCCGTGCAACACTCTGGAGAGTAAACCAGCTTTGTCCAATCTTGGAAAAAAATCCGTTACATGGAACACTTTAAACATTGATTTTTGTTTCTCCAACGTGTGGCTGGCGCAAACTCTGTAATCGCTTGTGGTGCTTTGCCTGCCAAGCACCGCTAACTGCAGCTGCTCTCAGTCTCCAGACAGGCTGTCATGTTGTCAGGTGGTGGTGATCACAAATCATGTCTGAGATGTCAAAGGTGAAAGGTGAAAAGGGGAGAAGAGTGCGTACCTGTCCCAGTGGCAGGACCAGCCTTTAGGAGTGGCGTTTATTTCATACTGTTTTAGTTGCTCTGCTGCATCCTGAAGTTTTCGTTTAAGGTAGTTTCCATTAAGAGCCCCTTCCCGCCAGTCTGCAATCCGAGTCTAAAATCAACAACAGCAGTAAGTGTTAAAAGACTTATTTTTTTCTGGAGATAGAGATAAGAAGGATACGAGTCTTCTAGACTGTGACTGTATTACTATACTGTGGCAGGAGTAAACCAAAGAGGAACAACAACAAAAATCCATCTTAATCACCTAAAATATCATTTGTCTGCAGTGTTCTGAAAAATGAGATTGGACTCCAGTATGTTTTTACACTGCCAACTCTCTGTCCTGTGAAAATGAGTGGCAGTTTTGGTTTTCTCCTTTAGATTATATAAAGATTGTTTCCCCAATAATTTTGGACAGATAGATCATTCAGTTTAGCAATGTTATTAACCAAAGTAAAGGTTCAGTTCTTAGGAAAACTAGTCAGCTTTCTAAAAGTGTTCATTACCTAATCCTACCCTACCATTTTGTATAGTATACTGGTTACAAATATAACTGATAACTTTTCTTTTTAAATAGATTTTTAATGCTTTAACATTTATAAAATAATTTCAAAATAATATAACCTTATTGGATCATTATGAAAAATTTTAATTTACTAGAAAGAAATCTGTATTAAAATTTCAGTTTTTATATGCCCTTTCAGGTGTATATCTGAAATGTGTTATGAACCAATGTTACCCCAATACATTAAATAAAACATACATAACTACTTAAGGCAGTGGACATAAGCATCATCATTATATACAAACTCTCAGTATTTGTCTTAATAATTAATTTTGCTTTCGCTAATCATAGTTTTATTTCCTGGGTTAGCAGTTAAAAAATGCATCAAGGTTAAACTTTCAAATTCAGAATTAAAACATAAACAAGACAGATTCTTCACTTGTAGCATTTTATTTAAACATTGACTATACCAAAAATTGCTAATTACCTCAGTCTGTAAGAGCAGCATATGAAAGTTGGAGATGGACTGTCTATTAATGCCCAAAAATTCAAATTTACTCATCAGGGTATTTGCTAGTTCTCCAATCTGAAACTGTAATGCAGGAAAGAAAAAAAGTTAAAATAAAAATGGAATCAGCAGTATTTTCTGAAATAAAATCAAATTTTGTATTTATTATAGACACTAAAAATATGGGTCTGCCTATAAATTATATGGTCTTTCTCAAGTAGCTGCATCCAAATAGTTTTGCAGAAGATAAATTTATAATTTATAGCAAAATAACTCCAATAAAATGAAGAATAGTAACAGAAGGTTTAGAGAAATTAAGTGAGTACCTACTCTAACACAACATGGAATTCAACAGTTGAAAACAGATCTGAAATGATGTAACTCCTGATATTGTTGATACTATCATTTATCCATTATTGTGTATACTGACCACAAACTGAAAAATATTAATTCTCCCAATCCCTTCTACATGGCAGTACACTAGCTAGGAATTGGATTAACTCTTTCAAGTCAAAAGAATATGCTAACTGGTTTTCCCAAGAGACCAACTCTAAATAGCCACATACTTAATATAGCCCAATTCTCCTATTAGAAATGACATTGGAAGAAAATTTGCCTTTGTGTAAGGACATGTAGTTCATGTAGAAATTAAATTTATGACTTTAGTCTCTTTTGTACTTCCAATCTAGAGAAGCCTTTATAATTACAGCCTGGCTGGTGTGGCTCGGGTTGAGCCAGGAGGTCATAGTTAGATTCCCCTTCTGGGCACATGCCTGGGTTTCAGGCTCAGTCCTCATTGGGAGCGTGCAGGAGGCAGCCAATCAATGATTCCCTCTCATCATTGATGTTTCTCTCTCCTCCTTCTTTCCTCTCTGAAATCAACAAAAATAACTCGGGTGTTCTTGGCCAAGTTGTTCACAGAACAAATATCTTGGTTGTTGAACCAAAGTTGTACCTTTCAAGCTGATAACTCACAGCATGACAAAAAGTATCTCAGACAACCAATAAAAGAGAGAATGCTTTTATGGCTTGCAAATTAACCATTAGCACAATTTTAAAACATAAAGAAGCCATCTTGAGTGCTAATGTTGTTAAGGGTGTGGAAGAAATAATGATCACAGACAATGGAAGAGGTAGAAAAACTGTTGTTGATTTGGATAAAGGAAAAGCAGTTAACCAGTGACAAGCCATTTTGGAGGCAGGGATATATGAGCCAGTTAAAGATGCTACAGGATGACCTGAAAGACATCCCTGGACCAAATGCTAAAAGTAATTTAAGGTGAGTAGGTAGAGGCATTGATACATTTAAGAAAATAAATGTTTGTCTATAGATTAAACAGTACATCAGCTATGTACTATACATAAGAAAGGTTAAAAAGGAGTCATTTGGGGGTTTGGAACGGATTAACTCGATGACCCCACAGAGCCATGCCAGTCAGGCTCAATTTATATTATTTCTAATGGGAAAAAAATGATTTGGTTTTCCAACAAATTGCTTCCCGAGATGCCTTCCAGAATGGATTAAGCTCAAGAACTGAGGTTCCCTTCTCGCGAGCGCCGCCAACATCTCCGTTGGGCCTCATGCAGGGAAGCTGGTCGCAATCATAGATGTAATCGATCAGAACTGGGCTTTGGTGGATGGACCTTGCACTCAAGTAAGGAGACAGGCTATGCCTTTCAAATGCATGCAGCTCACTGACTTCATCCTAAAGTTCCCACACAGTGCCTGCCAGAAGTATGTCCGACAAGCCTGGGAGAAGGCAGATATCAATACAAAGTGGCAGCCACAAGATGGGCCAAGAAGATTGAAGCCAGAGAAAAGAAAGCCAAGATGACAGATTTTGATCGTTACAAAGTAATGAAGGCAAAGAAAATGAGGAACCGAAAAATCAAGCTTGAAGTTAAGAAGCTTCAAAAGGCAGCTCTCCTAAAAGCTTCTCCCAAAAAAACACCCGCTGCTGCTAAAGGTGCCGCTGCAGGCAAGAAGGCTCCAGCCCAGAAGGTTCCCGCTCCGAAACCCGCAGGCCAGAAGGCAGCGCCTCCAAAAGCTCAAAAGGGTCCGAAAACCCCAGGCCAGAAAGCACCTGTTGTTCCCAAGGCATCTGGCAAGAAAGCATGAGAACACAAGGGGCTACTATAAATGTATAATAAAGGTTCTTTTTAGCAAAAACAAAACAAAAAAAAAAACCGAGGTTCAACTGTATTTGAGAAGCTATTGCTTTCTAAAGGAGGCTTCTTGTAAGAAAGTAATTAAGAATTTATTAGATGCCGAAACAGGTTTGGCTCAGTGGTAGAGCATCCGTCTGTGGACTGAAAGGTCCCAGGTTCGATTCCGGTCAGGGGCATGTACTTTGGTTGCGGGCACATCCCTGTTAGGGGGTGTGCAAGAGGCAGCTGGTCGATGTTTCTTTCTCATCGACGTTTCTAGCTCTCTATCTCTCTTCCTTCCTCTCTGTAAAAAATCAATAAAAATATATTTAAAAAAAGAATTTATTAGATAATTTATCTATATAGTCAGTCTTATAATTCCTTATTTCAGTCTTAAATATGACCTTTTCACCTGAGTAGATGATTTAGATTTGGAGATAAAGGTTACTTTTACTACTTGCTAATAGAAAGTAATTTAATGGTTAGCCAATTTACCATAAAAATATTTGTCAAGTTACATTAAGAAATATATATACATACTTTTAAATCCTGTTCTTCTTCTACTTTAGGTGCTGTTTGTACTTTATTTTTCTCTGAAGATTCTTCTACTTCCATTTCTTTGTCTGAATTCTCATCTATTTTTTCTGAATTTTCAGCACCAATTGCTACAAAAAGCAACAAAAAAAAAGACATAAAATTAATTCAAAAGGACAATAGTGATAGAGCCCCATAAACATTTTCTTATCTCCGTAGAAGAGAGATCTGAAAAAAGTTTCAAATTCTCTCTTGCTCGTGTTTCTTACTTGTTAAAGCCCTAATGCCAGGTACATCAGTTGGTTAGAGCATCATCCCAATAAACCAAGATTGCGGGTTCAATCCTGGTCAGGGCACATACAAGGAGCAACTAATGAATGCATAAATGGGTCAACAAATCAATGTTTCTCTCTCTAAAATAAATTTAAAAAAAATTAGCAATGGTCAGTATGGTTCAGTTGGTTGGAGTGTCATCTATACATCAAAAGATAGCTGGTTCGATTCCCAGTCAGGGCACAAAGGTTGCAGGTTACATCCCAGTTGGGGTGATATGGGAGGCAACGTCAATGTTTTTCTCTCACTCCCTTGATCTCTAAAAATCAATAAAAAACATATCCTTAGGAGAGGATTAAAAAAATAAGTAAATAATAGATATGAACTTTTTGTTAGGCTTGCTTCAAAACACCTGCTTAACAACTTATCCCCATATAAAATATAGTTCTTTCAGTCATGAAAACCACTTTTTAAAATAATCAAATTTGAGCCTGGCTCAAATTGTGAACTGGGAGGTCAGGGCTTGATCCCCGCTGTGGGCACGTGGTAGGCAGATCAACGACTGATACTCTCATCACGGATGTTTCTCTCCCTCTTAATACAAACTTTTAAAAATTGTCCATTAACAGGGGAAGAGTTAAATGTAAATGAAGACATCAAGCTCGGCCCATGTGGCTCAGTGGTTGAGCACTGACTTCCAAACCAGATCATAGTCCAATTCCCAGTGGGGGCACATGTCTGGGTTGCAATCTCATGCAGGAGGCAGCCTATCAACATATCACTGATTCTCTCTTCCTCTATGAAATCAATAAAAGTATATATTTAAAAAAACCTACAGACATCCATACCACTTTGTGGTTAAAAACAATTATTTTTAAGCCATGTTTTAAATGAAAAATTATGTTGCCTATCTGTAGGGCTAATCTCATCTCATCCATATGGTAATATGTTCATGTATACACAATTTCAAATGTAAAAAAGGTCTAGAATATTTATGTAGATAAAGGAATATGGAACGAGAATAGCAAAAAGATGAAAGGGATCTCTTTTAGAAAAATTCTACTTCTTGTTCTTCTATATTGTTGATTGAAAGGAGAAAAATAAAACAAAGAAGTTTTCATTTATTATCTGCTTTTATTTGTTGTTCTTTTAACCAATAAGGTATCTTCTGCTAGAAATACTCAATTAAGGTTTGATCAAATCTTTTTTTTTTTTTTAAATATATTTTATTGGTTTTGTACAGAGAGGGAGAGATAGAAACATCGATGAGAGAGAGTCATCGATCAGCTGCCTCTTGCACACCCCCTATTGGGGATATGCCCGCAACCAAGGTACATGCCCTTGACCGGAATCGAACCTGGGACCTTTCAGTCCACAGACAATGCTCTACCACTGAGCCAAACCAGTCCTGGCAGGTTTGATTAAATCTTATTGCTAACTTTCTTCTACAAAATTAGGGCCAAATGGGCATAAAAACATTAGTTCTGATAACAGATTGGAAAATGCAGCCGGATCTCTTCTGCATTACTGTGAATGAAGATAACTTGAGTCCTAATGACAGCATCAAACCTATTTATAGCCAACCAGGCTGGGAAACTTGCTAGAAGTGGTCAAAGCTTTTCCTGCTTACCAACTGGAACAGTGAACCAAGTAAGGAGAGCAGATGGTATTATACAGATCAAAAATTATTATGTCCTTAGCTGGCTTTCTCAGTGGTTAAGAGTGTTGGCCTAAAGACTGATGGGTTGTGGGTTAGATTCCAGTTAAGGGCACATACCTTGGTTTCAGGCTCAATCCCTAGTTCTTTTTTTTTTTTTTTAAATATATTTTATTGATTTTTCAGAGAGAGGAAGAGAGAGGGAGAGAGAGTTAGAAACATCGATGAGAGAGAATCATCGATCAGCTGCCTCTTGCAAACCCCCTACTGGGGATGCGCCCGTAAACAAGGTACATGCCCTTGACTGGAATCGAACCTGGGACCTTTCAGTCCGCAGGCCGACGCTCTATCCACTGAGCCAAACCGGTCCCGACTCAATCCCTATTATATTGGGGCGTGTGCTAGGGGGCAACCAATTGGTGTCATCTCTCTCTCTGTGTTGTCCCTTCCCTTCCACTCTCCCTAAATATAAGTGGAAAAAATATCCTCGGATGAGGACTAACAACAACAATAAACAAAAAGAAATTAGTGTGGCAAGAGAGTAAGAAAAGAGGAAAAGGATCCAATCTTGTTTTTCTGTTTCTGAGGGAGAAGTAACCTTCAGTCAATAGTGAATACCCAACTGAAGGGACGCCATCCTTTCAGAATCTTAACTCTCCCATTAGTGGACAGGAAAAGGTTCAGAAAGTGAAAGGAAGCTTCCTTCCCAGCATTTCTCTAAAAGGGTAAAGTGCTGTCCCCCTTTTTTGCAGAAGAGGGAACAAAAGAACAAAACAAAACACACATACACAAAAAAACAACAACAAAAAAACCCCCAACAAAACAACAGTAACAAAAACAAAAAAGGGAAATGAAGGAATTTCCTTTCACATCTTTCATCTCTAGTTTAATGTAAAGCACGAATTACCAGTTTCTCCATTTTCTGGAGTCTCCTGTCCAGTTTTGCTAGAACTCCGGCTGGTAGATTCTGGACTGGTAGCTCGAACAAACATCTTCCATTTTCCTTTTTTAGACATAAGTCTTCGCATTCCATCTTGAGATGCTGGCTGGCTGATATCAGAACAAGGACTGGACCCTGACACACTACCATCTCCTTCCTCCAAGGCTCGCAACTCTGCCTACAAAGAACATGAAAATAAAGGGATAGTGGCATTAACTGTTAGTAGTGTTAAAATGCCTGCGAGTAGCCATGTGTTTTCCAAATTTAAATCCTTTGAGAACAGGAAGCATTTCTTAGCACATTTTTCCATGATAGCTGAACATTATGCTCCATATTCAACTGTTACTCAATAAATACTGACTTATGATTATAGTCAATAAATATGGATTTGAAGGAGATAGGTTCTAGAGATCCTTTGCAATACGTGTACACAATAGACAAAGCTTAACTTTGCTCTCTCTCTTCATAATGTCAAGGAGATATTACTGTTATAACACGTTATGATTTTCCTTCACTCAACGTGGCAGTAGATGAAACTTTTCAAAGAAAATGAGGGCAGAAAATAGGTAAAAGTCAACTTTTCAATCAGGAAAGTTTCCTGTGGACCATATAGTTTTAAAAGATGGTGATTTTTTTCCCCCTTTTAAAAAAAGCACATAAAATTATGGGTTCCTTATAATTCTGTTCTTACAAAGTCCATTTAACATGCAAACAAGATATGCCATGGTTGATAAGCAGACGTCAACTTGTACTTTGTTTGATTAAAAAAAAAAAAAAAAGAAGTTAATCACAAGAATTTGCAATGCTTATTTGTTAAAAAGCTAAATTAGGACAATGTCAGTCTTTATTGGTTGTCAGCTACCAAAAAAACAGTGCCAGGGACCAAAACAACCACAATGCCAATAATTCAGGTTTTTATTGCATAAGCTTAAACATATCTAGATGAAAAGATAAGAAAAACAAAATCCCAGTAAGTGTACTGCAATTTATGCCCAATGACCCCAGAGTATGATAGTACCGAGGGAAGAAAATGCACCTTAGCTAAAATTTCGAAACTTACTTTTTTCCTTTCCAAAACGAGCTCTAGTTCAAGGGTATCTTGTTCCTCCTCCTCACTTTCTCCAGATTGAACAACACTACAAAGATCCTCCTGAGACGGGTCTTCCATATTGTCCAATACAGTTTCCTGTGGCTTTACTATTGTTGCTGTTTCTTCTGTTGTACTTATTTCTTTCACTTCTGAAACTGGCTCTACTTCTTTACAAATTACTTTTCTTCTCCATCTCTCTTCTTCCTCTTTTATTCCCTCAGGCAATAGCGGAGCAAGCAGTGCTGCTGCCACCCCTTTTTTCTCTTCCTCACTATTTGAGAGAGCTTGAATTCCTTCATTTACTTCCTATAAAGAACAAAATAATCTTACTTTTCAAACAAATCTGACCTGAATATAATTGTTCATGTAAAAAAAATGACTGCATTTTCCAGTCACTGAATGTTATTGAAAACCAACTTCCAACAGATGAGTATGCTTGTACCATTTTCCTTACATGTGCATAATGGAAACATTGCTATTTAGAAAGGCAGTCTGAACTAGAACCTAGTTGTGGGCAGATCTCAAACCCCCCCCCCCCCCCCCCCAATTCTTCCTATGTCAAAAGACAAACTAATAAGAAGCACAACTAGACTTAAGGAAGGTCAAAGCTTTGTCAGCTCAACACATGATTGTATAATTATTCCCCTTTCTCTTCTGTATGATGAGATAACCTCACATTTTTCCTATAAAGGTGCTTTAAAGGGAAGCAAAATATTTCTAACATGAAATGTGTCTATTTAAAGTATCTATTTCCTCCACTGGGATATTTACTTTATCTCCCTTCTGGAGTTGTAAAGATTAAATTATTCCAAACGTAATTTTTGGACAACCCCCTACTCTATCATTTAAAAATTCAAGACAAATTAAATTTCAATTCACACACTCTGCAAAACACAAAGTACTTTTCTTATTGATGAGGCTATAAAAATGCTCATTTCACTAAAAGTTTTAATTAAGGTAACTCATCTTATTTTAAAAAAATCTTCACAACTGTTTTTTTTTTTAAAATCAGAGATTGAAGATGACTGCTGACAGAAAGGTAGGTTGTAAGATAGTGTGCGAGTGAGAGAATAAAAGGAGAGTGGCCGAAACCGGTTTGGCTCAGTGGTAGAGCGTCGGATTGCGGACTAAAAGGACCTGGTCAAGGGCATGTACATTGGTTGCGGGCACTTCCCCGGTAAGGGGTGTGCAAGAGGCAGCTGGTCAATGTTTCTTTCTCATCGACATTTCTAGCTCTCTATCTCTCTCCCTTCTTCCTCTCTGTAAAATATCAATAAAATATATTAAAAAAAAAAAAAAATAAAAGGAGAGTGTGTGGACATACAGGAGTGTCTATTTGTGAGTGAGGGACAGCTATAATCCAAGGGACTGTTGCGGACTGTGGACCGGGCTCCCTGTCCAGGCAGCCTCCACTGCTGCTGAAATCTCTTTTGGAGTGACCGGCTCTGCCGCAAAGACTGCGCCATCTTCTATGGGAGAGTGACTGTGGTCAGAAGCCTAGCTTTACTTTCAATCGGGAAGAATCGGTACCTCCGGGACCCTACAACCACGACACCCAGGGTTGAGCTGTAAACCCACAAATACGAGGTCTCAAGCAGTGTGAATTTATACCCCAGATGAGCTCTGCACCTTCTCATGGTAAGGTCATATTTCGCCCAGAGAAACGTGAGGTGTGCGATCCAGGATAAAGGGAGAAATGCGTACAGTGGGATATAGAAGTTCAGAGGAAATCTGCGCCTCACAAAATCCTCGGACATTGGGGCCAGTGTAGTCTGCAAATGTGGAAGGGGTCCACAGAGCTGCTGACAGAAGGGAACTCTAGAAATCAACCCACAGCTGGGCTGGGCAGGGCAGGGCAGGGCAAAAAGACGTGCAGAGACATGAGCAGAGTTGCACAGTGCTGGGGTGAAAAATTTGCAAGGTCACACACTTACTCTGGCTCTTAAGGTCACTGAAAAGTTTGGAAGACAAATTCAACAATATGTGTAAGAACCAAGAGGAAATGAAGAAGAACCAAGAAGAAATGAAAAATGACATCAATGCAATAAAAAACTCAATAGAAAGCATCAACAGTAGACTAGAAGAAGCAGAGGACCGCATCAGTGAGCTAGAAGACAAGGTAGGAAAAAATACCCAAGCAGAGAAGCATCTAGAAAAAAAGCTTAAAAAACAAAAGGAGAACCTAAAGGAACTTTGGGACAACATGAAACAACAGCTGCATAATAGAGGTGCCAGAAGGAGAGGAAATTGAGCAAGGAATAGAAAACCTATTTGAAGAATAGAGGTCCCAAATTGCTCTCTTGCAATTTTGGACCCCTCAGGGGATGTTGGAGCTGGTTTCGGCCTGATCCCTCAGTAGGCCAGGCTGAGAGACCACACTGGTACATGAATTTGTGCCCTGAGCCCCTAGTGTATGTAGATATGTGTGATATAGATATATAACTTCTATACTTGTGCCACAGTAACATTCAATTTCTTTAGATTTGGCCCGGCCAGCATGTCTCAGTGGTTGAGTATCCACCTAGGAACCAAGAGGCCACTGGTTCCATTCCCAGTCAGGGCACATGCCCATGTAGCAAGCTTGATCTCCAGTAGGGGGCATTCAATGGATGATGCTCTTCTCTCACCAATGTTTCTCTCTATCCCTCTCCCTTCCTCTCTCTCAAACAAATAAAAAATTCTTTAGATTTGAAAATATGTAAATAAGGTTAAGTTGTAACACTGACCTTTTTAACTTCTCGCTTGGCTATGACTGGTCCACTTTTACTATTGGAAACAGAAATATTTTTCTCCTTATTATACATGTCTGTATTCACCACAAAACTAGTTTCAGCACCTGTTACCGAACTTAAAAAAAAAAGAAAAAAGAAATGAAAAATATTATCATTAAAAGATAAAGACTTAAATGTCCTTCTCGGTAATTTCTTTTTCAAGGTTTCCTACCTGGGTTGGTAATGTTGTAATCCCTGTACCTGGGTGGCAAGATACTGGGGTAATTCCCATGTCACTTCATTTGTTTGTGTATTCCAATAATAATAGCATCCTGTGTTCTCATCCCAGACTTCTTGCCAATCTCCCATCTCAATCTCAACTACAAGAAAATAAAACAAATTTTAAGAAGCACAAATTATTCCACAATTAGAATTTATAATCCAAGTCATCTCTAAAGCCATAACAATTTAACACAGGATTTCTCAATCTTAGCACTGGGGCAGGATAGTTCTCTGTTGGTGGATGTGTGTGTGTGGGAGGGCGGGGGGGGGGGGGGGGGGTGGGGGGGGGAAAGAAGAGGGACACTCCTAGGTAGTGTTTAGCAGCACTCTGACTTCTACCCACCAGACGTAGTAACACCCCCATCTCCTATTGTGATAACCAAAACTGTCTCTAGACATTGTCAATATCTCCCAGGAAGCAACTTCCCACACCCCATAATCTTGGCACATATGTTTAAAAAAAGCAGTTTGATAGTGCAAAAACGTATTTTGAACCCCAAAAGACTTTTTAAAATAATAGCTTTAATCATTCACTTGGCAAAATCTGCTACTTGTTAAAAGGGTAAGCAAATGCCTAGCTGGTTTGGCTCAATGGATAGAGTGGACTGAAGGATCCCAGGCTTGATTCCAGTCAAGGCACATGTTTCTATCTCTCTCACCCTCTCCCTTCCTCATTGAAATCAATAAAAATACATATTTTTTTAAAAAGGGGCAAGCAATTATTTTAAAAAAAAAAAAAAAAGTATCCTAGTAATTCTCAGAGTTAACTCTTCTATCCTACTTATTTTTCAAAATACTGCATTTAAAAGGCAGAATCCTACAGTCTGGGGCTAAAGCACATGGGTGTTCATCTTTGGGAATCTTATAGCTCAGAACACCTTTAAGGACTAGACTTTAAGCTTCTTTAAAAATCAAAGGATTGGTGTGCCCGCCCTAAGCCCTTCCTTGTTCCACTATCCTTAGTTTTAATAAACATACTATCAAAAATAAAAATATATTAATAAAATCAAATCAGCCCTAGCCAGGTTGGCTCAGTGGGCAGAGCGTCAGCCTGCAAACTGAAGGATCCCAGGTTCGATTCTGGTCAAGGGCACGTGCCTGGGTTGCAGGCTTGATCCCCAATAGGGCATGTGCAGAAGGCGGCCAATCAATGATTCTTTCTCATCATTGATGTTCCTCTCTTTCCCTGTCCCTTCCTCTTTGAAAAATCAATAAAGATATATTAATAAGTAAATAAAAAATAAAGAGGATCAAGCTTACCTCCTGCCAGTGAACACTGAGTGTCATACTGCCACCCTGATGCCTGGGTTGAGTCTGTTCCATTCGAAGTAGTGGAAGAAAGGGCAGATGCTGCTGATTCCTTTGGCTCTGGGCGAGGTGGAGTTGGAGGTGGAGCAGAAGCTCCTGTAGGAGCAGCAGGCTGAGGAGCTGTTATTGCATCAATCTCCTTTAGAAAGAAAATGCATTCATCACATCAAAACCGGAAAATGACAATCACCTTTTAAAAAAAAATCCTACATGCTGTTCCTAGCTTCTCAAATAAAAATCCTCATATTCTAATTAAACCATTTCTTCAAACCTTTCTATTATCCGCTTTTTAATTTTTTTTTTACAACATTAACAAAAAGATAATATGAAGAGCCCTAGCCAGTTTGGCTCAGTAGATAGAGCATCGGTCTGTGGACCAAAGGGTCTTGGGGCTGATTCTGGTCAAGGGTTTGATTCCTAAGTTGCAGGCTCCTCCTGGTCCAGGCCCTGGTAGGGGCACTGCAAGAGGCAACCAATCGATGGTTTCTCTCACATCAATGCTTCTCTCTATCTTTCCTTCTTTCTTACACTCTCTCTAAAAATCATTGGAAAAATATCCACAGGTGAGGTTTAAAAAAATAAAAAATAAGGGACTAAGGAAGACAGATAAAAGGGGAGAAGAGGGGGACACAGATTGACAAGTACGCTAACCACTGAGATCTAAGTCACAAAGTGGTTCTAATAACTTAAAAACCCAAGCAAAAACACCACTAACCGCTAGAAAGTTGGCCAATGTACTATCAATATCAGTTGACTGGTTTCCATTCGCTTCTTTAGACTGCGCTGGTTTTTCCAAAACATCATTCTCTTCATCATCACTATCAGCGTATGCACCAAGCAAGCACAAACCTCCTAGAAACAAAGAGAGAAAGAACTTTAGTAATAACAATGCTAATATGTCCTAAGTAGCATCCAAGGAAAAATAAAACATGGTTCTTTAAACACTTTACATTTAGTTTACTTACAGGTTAGGACAAACCTAATTAAAATAAACCATCAATGAACTACCTGAGAGGTAGAAGTTACATTATGCATTTAGAGCTAAGAAAATCAATCTGCATGGCTACTTGACACCCTAGTCAAAATACACGCTCATTTATTCAACTTTATACTCTGTCAAAACAGCATACAGTATATCCTGATTTTTATGTATCTATTTCAAACAGGTAAACCAATTAGGATTTAGTAGATGAAACAAAATTCTGTTCCAATTATTTTTCATACAAAAAAGAATTCAAAACGCTAGACCCCAAACAAACAACACTAGTACCAATTATCAATGTCTTCCTCAAACTAAAGTCCAGATATGGCCCCTGAAATGCTGCTATGCTATATCCATTATATCACCTGTGACTACTTTAATGTCACAAATTAAGTGAGCACATACAGGGGTGGGTAAAAGTAGGTAAGAACTCTGTGCCAAAGTGAGCTTGAGTATAATAACTAGGCTACAGAATGCGTAAATAATTAAGGCTGGTAATTTGTGCACTTGTGAGATTTCTTTGTCATAATTATTTTATAAATAAATTCATGGGTTCAGATAAAAGTAAACACAAATTGTTTCATTTATCATACAAGAAGACTTCATATTCAATGCTTTAATCACACAAATCTTGTTTTAGTACATAGGTAAATTCTTACACTAAACATTAATTTCCAAAAATACTACTTTAAACTGCTTAGAATAATGTGAAGAAGACATATGACAGTGTCACCAAATATTTCATTTTTCATGGTTTTGGGGCACGCCAGTCAATTTTCCGAATTTTCTGAACAAGAGTATGTAATAGCCTTGTAAGGGTACAGTTACAAAAGTAGACATTTCTGTATGGACAAATTCTGCCCTTTAGCATTCAGCGCTGATGGTTTTTTGAAGGAAGGAGGAAGATGGAAAATTTTTACATAAAAATACTTCTTAGTTTAGAAACAATCATAGATCTAATCACCCAGGTCACTGTCTAAATGCTACACATACTCTTTGGTAAAAGGTTCCAAACCAGGTGAGTTGTATGGAATTTTAATTATGAAATTCCCCAAGCTTGAAATGAATGTGTCTCATAGGCAACAGGTTTCACCAAGGCTCATTATATTTATTCCTTTTTTCTTCACCTAAGAACATTCCATAGCATATACATCAAACCTCTTCTAAGCTCCTAATAATATAATTACTATTAAATAGCAAAGTAAATGAAAATTATTAAATTGATATTTTGGGGGAAGAGGCATACTTAACATTGTTAGACACACCATACATTAAATGATTCAATATATTTTAAGAACAATTTGGTAACATGTATCAAAAGCTACTACTTTTAATTATTCTTATCTTTGAGGATATAACCCCAAGAAAGAATTAAAAAAACTTTTTGCAAAGTTTTCTATAAGCTGTGAACAACTCAGATGTTCTCAAATAGGGGACTAGCAAATCAAACTACAGCACAGTACCAGATGCAATACTATTTTATGATTAATCAGATCATTACAGTATTATATGGAACAGTGCTAAGGGGACAAAAAGTAATATTAACAGAATAAAAACAAGATAAAACCAAATAATGAAATGTATGTAAATTCAATTACATTTCTGAAACCATACATTGATAAGAACAGGAATAAATTTAGAACACTGAAAAAATGTTCACAATATTCTGCAAAATTATTAATCTTAGAAAAATAAGTCACAAAACCATGTACTAGACTACTACTGGGATGTTGTTGCTACTTGAAACTAGAGGAAGCAAGGCTATTCTTTGGAGCCATAGTCCTTAGCATTTTTTTGAGAAAGATAATGTGCTTACCTTGAATGTATGGTGTCACACTATACAAATCAACTAACTAAATCAGGTAGTAATTTCTTAGATTATATTTTTTATTTTCCCCATAAGTTTCAAGCAGTAACTGTGCATTATATTTTTAGTAACTTTATTATAATTTTCTCATCACATTGCTGAACAGTTGTTTTTAACCCTTTTAGTCACAGAAACTATTAATAATCAAGATGATAAAAGTTATAGACCTCCTTCGAGGAGCACACATTTGAGTGTGCAATTTCAGGGAGTCCAGAGACCTCTGACACTCATTTTGTGGTTGTTGCTATTCCTCACCTGAGGATATTTTACCCATTGCTTTTTCAGAAGGGGAGGAGGGGAAAGAGAAACACTGGTATGAGAGAGACACCTTGACTGGTTGCCTCTGCATGACCCCAGACAGGGATGCTGGGAATGAGCCTGCAACGGATGTATGTGCCCTTGTCCAGCACCCTTCAATCCTGGGGTGTGGACACCCTATCCACTGTGCCAAACACACTGGGGGCCTTCCTTTTTTTTTTTTTTTTTTTTTTGGCTTGATTAGGCTTTTAATAAAGACTTTGAAACCATTTCCATTGAATTCTGGTGCCACCTCATATGAGGAAGAGATCAAAGACACATTTGTGGCTTAAACCATACGTTATTATTTTGTTTGTTTTAAAATAAAATGGAATGAGTAATTTCTTCAATGTGGAATTCTGAAAGCACCACAGGGTACAGCTCAATAAAGCTGCTTTGAGTTTTTCTGAGGTTTACACACTTAGGGGTATATTACACGCATAAATCTAAGGCACCTGGATGAGAGTATACCCTGCATCTCGCCATCAATGTTCAGGTTTGCCTAGTTCCAGTCTATTATACGAGATGCTCTTGGTAGTTCCTTTGTTTTTTGTTGGACAAACTTTCTCCTATAATTTAAACTAACTGGTATGTTAAGAACTTTAAGAACCGAATAAACTGATATATTATTACCTTGTAGGATGATGTTGGGACAAAATGAAAACATTTCTGTTCATAAGGCATATAAAGGCCTTAAGTGCTGACATAGCAATCAAGGAAATTTCTCCTAGTAGAAATACTGAAATTCTATCTTACATGATTCTTAAACTTAAATGAATATATGTACTTTACAAATACAAAATAGTATTTTCTAGTTTGGAAATTTCTCTCCGAAGCAAGCGTTAGCTTTTCTAACCCACACAGGGTTTTCTTTTTTTAAAGTAACAAATGGCAGGATGAGGGAGCAAGCATCTATTACGGTATTTCAGGATTTCAAGTATCATATAGTACAAAAATTATACCACACTTAGAAGGATAAAATTATTACCAATTATAGAATATTTAGTATAAAAACCTTTAATCTTTTGATCTACTTATATAAAACTAACATTTTTTTTATTTCCGTGTCCAAACTTCATATAAATTTTTCAATGTAACCATCAAAATAACACAGAGCTTAAGATCCATTTTACTGGTGAATGAATGAGGTCCTGATTTCTCAGAATGAATGCTGAAGTGAAGATTTGAACTCAAATTTGTCTACAAAACTACCGCTGCAAATATTCCTTAATTCAATTTCAGCTCCACAAACATTTGGTAGGTACTAATCAAAGCAATGTGTTAGAAAATAGAAACTGAGGGTGTTCTCTAAAGCCAGAAAACGCATTACAAAATGGCAGAAGAAAAAGTAGTATATTTTGGATACAGATTAAACAGCAACAAATTTTACATTGGCTGAAGTGTTCATATATACTAAAAATTATCACAAATATATTTAAAATTCCCATTTTCTTGGGGGGGGGGGAGAAATATAAATTAGCCAACACTGAAGCTGTCAACAAAACACTCTATAAACAAATCCAATCTGATCTTTATGAAATATATGATAGATGTAAAACAAACAAACAAAACAAACCTGTTGCTTTAACGGCTGTGAGTCTGGTGGTCATGACTGGTTTTGGAGGATTCTGAACAACTTTGGGAACCTCCACCACCGCTTCCTGTTCATCTGGATTTGGAAAACGAACAAAACTATAGTCACACACGATGGACCAGAAAAAACACTACAGGTGACAAAACCAATCTTTGATTTGACCTTTCAAGTCCAGATTTCATCTTTTTAAAACTGTGTATAATCCATTCCTAACCCAAATAATTTGGGAGGTAATAAACACAGCTAGAATCTTCTTGTCTCCTGACCTCAACATTAAGAGTCTGAACATTATAAAAAAAAAAAAGGAAAAAAATCTGAACATTATGAATAAAAATTACACCTGAAATAATTAAACTCTTTCTCTCTCATAATTAAACTCTTTCTCTCTCAATGTTCTCTCAGCTACTACAAAAGCCTTTACAACTAGCACAGCCATGGCATTTACTTTCACAGGAGCTACTACCCAGCGTGTGTTTTTTTTAAACATCTGAAACGATCGCAACTTCTCCGGAGTCAGTCTGATCCCTGGATTAGAGTTATCGAATTACTTTTTTTATTTTATTTATTTTTTTAAAATATATTTTTTACTGATTTTAAACAGAGAGGAGGGGAGATAGATAGAGTTAGAAACATCGATGAGAGAGAGAGTCATCGATCAGCTGCCTCTTGCACATCCCCCACACCGGGGATATGCCCGCAACCAAGGTACATGCCCTTGACCGGAATCGAACCCGGGACCCTTCAGTCCTCAAGCCGACGCTCTATCCATTGAGCCAAACCGGTCCCGGCTACTTTTTTTTTTTTTTTTTTTTTTAAATAAAAACAAACACATTTTTTAAAAAAATTACAGATTGCATTCCATATTATTTTGTGGTAGTTTCAGGTGTACAGCGTAGCGGTCAGACAAGTACCAGTGCCCGGAGAAACACAAATACTTGGGATACCCAACTAAGGCGACCAGATTCTAACATTGGTAAAGCGGGACACCATTGAAGGAGGGGGGTGGGGGTGAGGGGGTTGTGTGTTCTTGATTAAAAATTTGGTCTATATGGAGCAACAAAAATTTTCATAAAACGGAAAAATAGTATTGTAATATATATTTTTAAAAATTTCAACGTAAGAAATTTATAAACGCAATAAACTTATAAATATAATAAACTAAAAACATGTATAGTATTATTTTATTCTTTGGCATATTTCTCATTTGAGTGAATCCTAACAACTGATCAACAATGCAAACTTTGATAAGCAGTCCTCGATCATCAGTTCTCAACGATTATTTGTTATTATTAAAGCTTAACGTTATAAAAATAACAAAAAATAATATAAAACTCATATCCTGGCTTAATAGCCACAGGGTCGCCGAAACCCGTATATTCCCTCCCCGGTCTCCCGCCGTTCCCTAGCTTTGTCGTGCATTCATTCTTTCCAAAAACCGGGACTTTTTTTTTAAAACGACGCGGGACTAATTGTTAGGAATCGGGACTGTCCCGCCCAAAGCGGGACGCCTGGTCACCTTACCAAAGCCTCACTCTCAGAAATTTTTGAGTGGGGAATACCTGCCAATGTGGGGGTTACCGAAGCTTGGGCTGACATAAGAAAAAGGGCTTGCTCACTTGTAAAGAGTCTTGGGTTCAACAAAAACGAAGGGAGCAGCAGACGACGTGCGGAAAAGGCCAGGTTCCCGGGCACCCAGCCTCGGACGCGGAAACGCATCCTCCGCCATCCACCCCGCCCGCTAAGCGATCCATGCCCAGGGCGGACGTTGACGGGGCGCAGGGCGCCGCGCCGCCTTCTGCGGCAGCGATGGCGCCTCTGGGATTCCCCCGCGCGCCGCCCTGCGGCCCTTCGGTCGTCCTGGGGCCCGCAGCCGTGCTTCCCCGCAGGCCCCACGCGCAGGCCGCGGACGCGGACGCCGCCCTCCCGGTTTATTTCCGAGGGACTAGGCCGCAAGCCCCGAGCTCGAGTTTCGGATGCCCCACCTAGGGGCCGGGGCCCCTCGCGCGCCCTCACCTTCTGAAGGCGACTCTTCCGGGGCCGCCGCGGCAGTCGCCGCGGTCGTTGTGGTCGTCGGCGCCGCCGGGGCTGGCTGGCTAGGCGTCGCCGCCGTCGAATCCGGCTCGATGTCGGGTTCGGGCTCCGGGTCCCGGCCTGGAGTGCTGCTCCGGGGACCCGGCGGAGAGAGCTGCAGGATAGGCCTTCGGCCGGGTACCACCCGGGACTTCTTCCCCATCGCGAGCCCGAGCGCGAGCTGCGAGCGTCTGGAAGCCGAGAAGGGCGGTGCTCGGCGCGGCGCTGCGTAATCAATATTCATGGTTCCGCTCCTAACGGCGGAGCGCGCGTTGCGCAAGCGCCTTGAGCCCGGTACATTCTTCTGGCTCCTCCCCTCCAGGGGAGAGGGCGGGCTTTACTCTCAGAGCTAAGCTATTGGTCATTTTGGCCTATTGAAGGGTCCTATGGCCAATGGAAAAAGGGAAAACGACTGCGCGTCAAGCCAATTGTACGGAAGGGCCTGAGTTTAGAATGATCTCCCCAGCACCTCGGGCCCCACCCATGCGTCTTTGGCGGAGTCTTTTCTTTTACCCTCTTGTCTTCCATGTTGTGCCAGTTTTCTGCCTACTGTTCGTGACCATTTGTTCTTTAGGAAAGTGGGCTGCTTTTCAGGTTTCCCCCCAAGGTTTTCCCTGATTATTGTGGCTTACTTTGGGTATAGCATTGAACAGTAAATATAGTGGTCTTTTATGCTTTAAAAATTTTTTTTTTCCCTTAGGGCATAACGATGATTAGTGTTGCTTGCCAATGAGGGCGGCGGAGGGGAATCACTAGAAATTATACCTTTAAGGTAAAAGCCTAAGTTGTTTTGGTGAGATACAGGAGCCTTCCCGATCTGGCCCGCTGGTAGCCTTAAATCTGCTTGATTTATCTTCCTTTGCATTTTCTTTTTCTAACCCCCATCCCCCCACCCCTTTTCTGGAGTAAGCCACTAGGAACATTACCTGTCTCACCTTAAGTTCTTCACATTATCTGGAATAACTACTGCATCACATGGCGATTTTTTTTTTTTTAAATTCCTCAAAACCCATGCAGGCATTACCTCTGAACCTCCTATCTGAATGTTGAGCCCCTCCCCAGCATTTAGCGTTTATTTATACTGTTAATACTCATCTACCCTTTATACTGTTAATACTCATTTACCCTTTCTAAATTGAGCTTAAATCCAGTGGGATATATTTTTATACCCCTGGCTGCTCAGTTCTTACTAAGCATACTAATAATACCTAACATTTATCGAACACTTACTATATGTCAGGTACTGTCTAAGCGCTTTACAAGTAGAATTGCATTTAATTCCTACAACTTTGTGGGGTAGATATCATTATGCCCTACTTATGGATGAACCCTCATATTGGTTGTTGAAGTCCCTGGAAAAGCTGGCCAGTGTCTTATGAACTGCTACCATGGTAACCACTGCTTTGATCAGCAATACAAAGAAAAGGTTTCTCCAACAGTGCCTACTCAAGCCTCTTGTCCTCTAGAAATGGCAACACTAGGTTTGATGATATTTTTCAGACTATGGGTTATGATCCATTAGTCAGTCATGAAAACAGTAAAAGATACATCTTTTCTTGAAACCTTTGTTTTCTTGCTGTAGTTGGAAGCCACAGGTTTATAATGCTGGGGGGGGAAGGGGGGAGACAAGGGCTGTCCCAGTCACGAATTGCATTAAACACTTCATATTTATCATGACAAAAGTTACAATAAAAAAGAATCAAGATACCACAATTATCTACCAATAACACCACCACAAGGAAATTTGTTATTTAAAATATATAATGTAAATATGGTGTTGATATTATAAAAAAGGCTTATGAAAAACTCAAGAAAGGTCAAAGGGCATACAAACAAATATATACAGATCATTCCCTTAAAAGATAATTTTAATATACAGAATAAAATGCAAGATCTTATTTTTCACTTTCCGCAAATTTGTGTATATGAATGCTTTTAAATCTGACCAGGAAAGTTTATATTTTGGCCCAATACATGATTAGACTAACTGTATGATCAAGTCCGGCTTGATTATTATAAATCATAGAAGTTAACAGAATTTACTTTGAAAATCTATTATTTTGATAGAGGATGAATTTCTAACTTTTTTCTTAGCTAAGAGTTGATCCAATTTTGGCCTGAAAACCAGATTCAAAATAAGCTATCTTCTTTGACAGCTGGTCTTTGTTTAAGCTTAATCTAGGCAAATTATTTAATACTTTATTGAAGATCATACAAAAATTCCACAATAAATAATGAAAAGAGTACGTAAAATCATAGACTCTGTTTGCAATACAGAAAATACATGTCAGTTCTGGACCAAAATAATCATTGAAATACAAAAAGTGAGAGGGAAAGATGAAAGGATTTGCAGTGTCTGCTTTTGGTGGTCAACTACAACCAACCAACAACCATCACCCCTTTGGGAAGTGAAGGTGGGTTTAATTTGCAGATAAAGAATGTCTCCGGTAGTTTAAAAAAATATAAACTCTAAAAAAGCTTGTGAATCATATACAAAAGCAGCTGTTTGAGACCAAAGATGAAACCGGAAATTGTATGTTAGCACCGCCAGCAAGCGCAGGGCCTGTGACTCCTCTGTCCAACTCTCTTACGCAGAATGCAGACTTGACTGTTGTACATCATTTACAGGTATAAAAACTGGCCGGAGTACAGGGTTCCTATAGGTAAAGTCTTAAGCCCTAAGAGGCACCAAGCGGTTACAAAGGCTAAGTGACCATCTGGATCACAAGTTCCGACGATATAATAAATCCCGTGTTGCCTTATCAACTTTTTGCTGGTAGTCCTCCAATTTGTCAAGTATTTTCTGCGACAGCTATTGGAGAAAAGGAGGAAATCATTACAACACATGTCAAGGACTATAAAAGACTAAGCTGTCATTTTGACTTCACAAGCTGATTTCCGTAATGAAGATGTTAGCCACTCTGCTTCATTTATTTATTTATTTTTTTAAATATATTTTATTGATTTTGTACAGAGAGGAAGGGAGAGAGATAGAGAGCTAGAAACATCGATGAGAGAGAGTCATCGATCAGCTGCCTCTTGCACACCCCCCACCGGGGATATGCCCGCAACCAAGGTACATGGCCTTGACCGGAATCGAACCCGGGACCCTTCAGTCCGCAGGCTGATGCTCTATCCACTGAGCCAAACCGGTTTCGGCCACTCTGCTTCATTTAACCACTATCCAGTATAGGAATCTGCTTTGGGACTCTACTGATGAAACTGGATTTGTTATACTACTGTGTTTCCCCGAAAATAAGACATCCTCCGAAAATAAGACCTAGCGCATGGAAAAATGACATCCCCTGAAAATAAGATCTAGCGCAACTTTGGGAGCAAAAATTAATATAAGACACTGTCTTATTTTCGGGGAAACAGGGCAGTATATATAATACTCTAATCCTGCTTGCCAAATGATTTTCCAATTATGCAAATCACACCAATATCTTCAATAAAAGCATTGCCAGCTCTTTCCCCAGAACTGAGGAAAGGCCACAACTGATTTAACTAGTCATTTTATGAAGGGACAAGAGGCTCGCAGTTTAGGACCCGAAATTCATGCAGCCAAGCCTGCAACCTCTCACAGTCCAGGAGAGGGCCTAAGCTAGCAGTCAGACATTCTTAGCTCTGCCATGGAAGCAGGAGAGGCTCCCGCCATTGCTACTGCACTCTGCGCTCCATAGCTGTGAGCCCAGCTCAGGGCTTTTGGCCGAGTGGTGCTCCTCCTGTGGGAGTGCATGGACCACCAGGGGGCAGCTCCTGTGTTGAGCATCTGCCCCCTGGTGGTCAGTGTGCATAATAGTGATCAGTCATTCTGCCATTTGGTCAATTTGCATATTAGCCCTCTATCATATAGAATTGAGGCAGCATGGTGCTGCCCTCTCCTTAACTCCTTGAGAACTGGAGAGCCAGCCATAAGGTGAAACAGATAGTGCAGGGGCATAGAGAGGAAAGACTGACTCACTGCAATGTTGTGACTGTTTGCACTGTTCTCTCCCAATACTTGGAGAAGCTGATCAATGGAAGAGTATGGGAGCCACACCATTGGAGCCGTCGCAGACAGGGGAAACTGAAAGAAAAAATATCTATAATTGTTTTTTCCACAATAAGAAATTGTAGGAGTGCGTATGCGCGCGCGCACACACACACACACACAATTGAAACCCCACCTACTTCCTTTCTCTCTCTTTTTTTTAAAAAATATATTTTTATTGATTTTGTACAGAGAGGAAGAGAGAGAGAGAGTCAGAAACATCGATGAGAGAGAGTCACCGATCAGCTGCCTCTTGCACACCCCCTACTGGGGATATGCCCGCAACCAAGGTACATGCCCTTGACCGGAATCGAACCCGGGGCACTTCAGTCCCCAAGCCGACGCTCTATCCACTGAGCCAAACCGGTTTCGGCTCCTTTCTCTTTTCAATCGGAGAACTTGTCCTTTTCTCAATTAAATTAAATATATTTTTAAATTTATATCATATCTTAAAGGAACCTTAAGGCTTCTAAGTTTAGGGATAAACATACTCAACAAAACTTCTCTAATATTTCAAGGAATGATACTATTTTCAGTCTGAAATTTAGATTTCAATATCTGGGAAAAAGAGGTTTGGAAAAAAAATGCTTAACTTTGAATGTTCTGAATACTTTCCTGAGAGCTTGGGAGCTTGGCTCCACTATTAACTAGACCTGGATTTTAAACATGGCTCTCCTATTTATCATCTTTGCAAACTTTGGCAACTTCAAGTTAATACCCGAGCCTGTTTCCTCATGGGTTAAAAAAAAAAGGGGGGGGAGTGGGGGATTAAAACAATCCCTTATAGGCTGCTGTAAAGATTGAGAAAACATTGTTAGAGACTCAGCATAGTCTTTACACACAAAATGCCATTTAGTTCTTTTTTAAAAAAATATTTTATTCTTTTATAGAGATGGAGGTGGACAGAGAGTTAGAAATATTGATGAGAGAGAAACATTGATCAGCTGCCTCCTGCACACCCCAAACTGGGAATATGCCCACAACCAAGGTACATACCCTTGACTGGAATCGAACCTTGGACCTTTTAGTCCATAGGCTGACGCTCTATCCACTGAGCCAAACTGGTTAGGGCTATTTAGTTCTTATTTATCTCCCTCTTTCAAGTACTAACTAAAGCCACACTCCTTTGA